TTGTACTTAAAAAGCCAGAATTAATGCATGTTTTTAGGTGTGTAACACACAAAAGCAACCACTATGCATACATCATGTTTGTTTCTTCCAAGAGCATGTTTCTAGGTTACAAAACAAACAACCTCTGAGGTTTCATTCATTTCCCTTTACAATATAATATGAGAAAATTCAAATAGTATCTACAATCTCCAATAAAGCAAGCAAAAACAAACTCCATATCCTATGTGTTCATGAGTAACTGTAGTCACTTTCGATTAAGTGGACCGTCAACTCATATTCCTTCCTAATATTAACTAAAAGCCACCTTGTGATCCCAGCATAGAATAAGCCACCCCTTCCTTTTTCATAGGTATTGTAAGAGCCAACTAAGGTCTTCCCTCATGTCCCTTTTAAAACATCACTAAGTTTGATTGGTTGCCAACTTGCATGTCAATCTAGGCAACTACTGGTAAAAGTCTTCTAGGGAAGGCTTATGTTCAGCAGTAGATAGTTATGATGATGATGAATAATAAAAAACTTCAGAGCAGACAAATTGTATAAATAAGCAACAAAAAGAAAATGTGCTGCAAAGAGCATATGTGCTGGACATGCTCTCATACTGTCTGCTGCATACAAGTGATACATATATGCTATATTTATGTGACAAGTATTTAATTACCATACCATATCAGTCATTAACTGTCTACTGCTGAACATAGGCCTTCTCTTATTCGGGCATTTTGCTGGTAGTTGTTAAAACACTGTCGGCTACTATGCTTATCTATGATATAAATATATGAAAATATTATTATAATTTTTTTATGCAACTTAGAATGGCAAACAAGCTGATGGTCCACCTGATGGAAAGTGGTTACTATCGCCTATAGACATGGACAGTACCATGCACATAACAGAGTATACTATTTCACCCACAGTAACCCATAGATGAAAGAGCTATATGAAAAGTTTTAAAATTAAGACATTCAATTAATTTCACAAAATAAACTTTAAGATTGATTTGTTGAACTATTCTCTGCTAACCTTACCAATGATTATAAATGAAATGTGGACAATTTTTTGTACCTATCTATGTTTTTCTTTTTATATACAGATATTTACTTTTAACAATAACTTTTAAGTAGATGGGTATGCCGGAAACTATGTTAGTTAATACATATAACTAAATAATAAATTGTCACTTTACCTGTATATATATTGGATCTTCTGGAAGAAATTTCTTTTAGAGATAACTTCATTGTTAATCACTATTTTATATAATTATTATTCTAATATAAAGTCTGTTGCATATAAAAAAAGAATATACCCAATATAAGCATTATTTTTTTAAGCACTTTCAGGGTTTTCTCTATATTATCATAATAAATAATCATAAGTATTTTCAGCTCATTTTGTTACATCAGGTCAGTAGATCCAACATCTTTTAAACACATCATCTTTCATTGATAATTCCACCAATACAAATCAATAGTAGAGGTATTTTTTTATTTATAAAAAACTGGAAAACTATTGTAAATAAGATGGGCAGGATCTCACTATACAAACAAAAATTAATATAGAACCTACATTGGAATTACTTTTATTGATAATGTAATCAAAAATCAATTCTGTATCTAAAAACTGGCATTTGCATTAGTGATAATAATTTCTCCTCCAGTCCAAGTTTCCCATCAAGTTAGCCATATCTCAATGTAATCTCAAGTCAACAATATATTGCTCTCAGAAGAGCAGATAGCACTTTATGATAAACATGAGCCAAGTCAGAATTTTGTTTTCTAATATGTAAAATATATGTTTAGCTCAAAGTGATCTGTAGCCATTAGGTCTTGGCTCAAATTTAAATAGACAAAGTTTACATTAATAAATCTCGAAAGAGTCATTTGAATTAGCTGCCTCGAACTACTTAACAGAATTATTTTTACAAATCTGGGCAGTGAATAATCTTTCTAATGCTATTCCTTAACCTAATGTTTATAGGTGTATGTCACTGCGGAAAATGTTGCGTTATACCATTACTAAGACGTAATCAGAATTAGTGGACGTTTGGAATTTCCATTATTTCATTAATATATTACTATACATAACGAGGTACATACTGTGTACAAAATATTTAGAAACGTGTCAAGTTTGAAAAGCTTGAAGGTAGAAAATAACGGATTACGTATTCAATAGATTACCAATATTCATCAATTTATAAAAAAAAAAATAATAAAGGAATTTATATGACTAAATTAAAATATTTCCATTACAACCGGTTGAAATTAATCGATAACATGAGTGTACTTATTATGATCATTAGAATTAGAACATTAAAAGAGACAATAAGAGAATGGTATTAGTACTTACCGATAATATTCGTCGTAAATTTTATTTACAATATAAAAATAATAAGCAAATGAAATATTACTTTATTTTTACAAATAAAATCGCAAAGATGAAATTAGTAAAAAAAATGGCGGCAATATTAATAAGATGTTTGGTAGTTTATTAAAAATGTTGCCAGTACATATGGATTTATTTTACCTTTTGTGAATGATTCAATATTTAATTGTAATAGTTATATTAATAATAAATGCCTATTTATTACAATCGCACTCAAGAAATTTCTTTTGTCCTGTACATAACCTAACATAAATAATAAATACCTGTCATGTTTTGACTAATTCTATCAACATTTTCTCATTAAAGAAACATTTATCTATCCATTTATTTATTGATCCATTTATCCGTTAGAAACCTTCGCATTTTTTACATGGATGGGATAAATAGAGTGGATTCTAAGACGTATTTCTATAATATTGTTATAAAGTATACAACAAATAATGAATTTTAAAGTAAATTAAATTAAATTTTAACTTTATTATAATTTTCAATGAGATGTAGTTTTGAATTAAACTTCTTTAGTGAAATAATATCGACGGTTGAAAGGCAAAATTGACTAAGCGACAAAAATACCTAAATTGAGTTTTATATACCATTCGAATCGCCTGATTTTTCTGCGTCGATTGGTCTAGGTTTTAAAATTCTACGATAATTTTTTTGTTGGTTAAGTACTGTGTGATTTTGGCCAAATTTACAATTTTATGTTTACTTAGCGACAAAAAAAATGTCATTTAAAGAATATTTATTACTTACGCCATTTTAAAAGTTGAAATATGGATTTATTTAATTTTTCATATCTTTGCTTTCACTTTTGTTTGCAAGTAGGAATTTTTACTTGTTATGAAATTTCGTTTTTATCTATTTTAGTATATTGTACCTATTAAAAAAAAATATAAATAATTTGGTTATGAAATTTTACCTGATGTAATATTTTATGATATTGCAATTTATATAATTCAATTAAAAATAAAATTAAAGTAAATTATACCTTAGATATTTTTACCTGTATAAAAATATGTTTGCTTTTAGCTGTATATATTTTTACTGCATATATTTGACTCGTTAAAATAAGTACGAATGGCGCTTATATAAATTTACCTGTACGCGAAATATAAAATGTGTATGTGTTTATTACCATTACAAGCATGATGAAACTCTAAATCAGACATTAAAGATTGCTATTTTAATAATAATTTTAATAAAAAACCAGATAATCTATTATAACTCTAACAAACATTTATTATTTTTAATAGCCGAAAATTAAAGACATTTAGTACATTTACAAAGAGGTTTTAGAAAACTTATGTAAAAGCAAAATTAGTCTTGTTTTATTGTGAATATTTTTTGTTAATTTTATAGTATTATTTATAACTATTACATTAAGTATAAATAATTAAAAATGATTAGTTGAAAATCAGTTTGGGATAATTTTAGGAAAATTTATTAACTAAAGATACATATTCTGCTAACACAACAATCATACAAGAACTTACCTAGAAAAATTTACTTGATTTTGTTTAATCTAATATATGTCTTTATATAATTGTACTTGTAAGGAGATTTAGATGAATCAGGATAACGATGTTTTTACTCGTTTCTGTTAACTTTTTAGATAAATTTATATAATTTTACCTGTAACCAAATCTAGGTATTTTTTATCTAACCGACATAAAATACTTTAAATTTTAGTCCGAGATAACTTTCTTTGATATCAAAAAATAACAAAAAAAATATATTTTCCGTAACTGTCAAAATTATTTCGATATGTCAATCAGGTAAATAGTTATGATTTTTTTTCGAAAAATTTCAACTTTAAACCACTCTCCTGTAAAGTTTATTAAATGTCGCTTAGTTAAGGTTGCCTTTCAACCGTCGATATGTAACATCGCGCCTGCAATTATAATGGCTATTTGATTGCTTATTAGTTAGATTAAAAAATGCTTATAAATAAAATACTTTATTATATTCCAATATATATAAAAATTTATTTTTATATTTACCTAAATATATATACCATACCTATGCCCAAATCTAAGTTTAGACAGATTTTATTATCGAGCTTCATCTTCTTTTATTTAATGACAATCGGAAACTATTTTTACTACCACATTTGCCCGTGTCATGTATAATATCGAGACGATCTGACACAAACTTATAAATGTATCAAACTCTATTATGTCAATCACTTGACTCGATTCTAGAATAATACTTCTAAAATTTAGTTAAAAATAAAATCTAAAGTGTTGTTTTAAATTTTCCTTTTGTTTTATAAGTTTAGTATAAAATTTAGCGTAACGCGTTATTAGCTATTTATACCTATTAAAAATCTCAACTATTTATTATAAGAAAATATGTTACTGACTGTATGAAGAATGTATATTTACCGTATATGTATATTTACTACATCTATTTTCACAAACACATGCCAGCTACTTTTTCTACAAAAATAGTCGGAAAAGCGCTGTAACATTTTTAAAATGTTCGTCATTCAGGTGAATTTAATTTTTTTTACTTATTTAAAGCTTATGAGTCTTTATCTATGGCTTTGGAATTAAAAGCTGTCAATGTCAAGTGTGACTATGTCATTGTGACATTTAAGACTGCCAAATTTTAATTTCTTTATGTCGTTTCTTGTCATTAACCATTGAAAATTCTAGTTTTATTTAATATTCTGTCATCAGTTTTTAAATTGCACTATTTCTATTTTGTATTGTTTATGTTTTATAAAGATTTACATTTATATATTAATTCTAACATTAATAGAATGTGTCTTAAGTAATTTGTAAAGATTTGTATATTTTTTATATAGTCAAATGAAAAATGAATAATAACAGTTCCGATTATATTAATTGGTCAGAACTACACTGTTCTAAAGGTGCCCTCACAGACTATTATGGATGGTTCATGCAGTTTTTGTTGGCTGTATTAGCATTCACTTGTTTAATAGGTTAGTTATTATTATGACTATATCCTTCAAACAGCTGAGTTCAAGGCTACTTGTTTGTAATTTCTAGAAATTGAAAGGTATTCCTTTTATTATAAAAATGAATTCATGAAAATTGTGTTTGATTTGTAATTGCTTTCTAATTCGAAAAAATATGTATTTCAATTTAAAAAATAAATATATACTACTGTTTGTGTAAATTCCTAATATTTATGTATTTCAGGTAAAAGGTTTTGTGAACCCCGTTATGCTAGAAGACCATGGTTGATTTGGTTCTATGATACGTCTAAACAAGGACTTGGTGCTCTCATTATACACGCAGCTAATGTTTGGCTCTCTCCACACCTTCTAGGAAACCCTTGCACTTGGTTTGTTTAATAAATAGATAAGAACTTTATTGAATTTATCAATTACCATCAATATTATATGGTTATTATATTGTATTGTTTATTAAATTGCATAACAGTATATAGATACTATTGTTTAATAACTCGCCACTGTTACTAAAATTAAATCTTATTTTTTCATATTCTACTTTATTTAGTCTTTTAATGTAGTATTTATTATTATATAATTATAATATATTGTTATAATAACAGAATGCTTTTGTTTATCAGGTATATTTTAAATTTCATGTTGGATTCAACACTGGGCCTGCTAATAATATGGGCAGGCATCCGTTTAGCTCAATATTGTGCTAGAACATATGATATCCCACTCATAAACTTTGGAGAATATGGTTAGTACTTGTTTCATGATACTTAATTAGTGTATACTGATTTAATTTCATGTACTGAACATGTTTTTAGGTACTTATAATACTACCAATAGTGTGGCAGTCAAATAGAATGAAGTTAGTACTTATTTTAGCTTCATTTTTCACTACACATACTTACCAGAAATTTGGGTATTTATTAATACATTCTATAACCTAATATTATGTCATAATATAATGTAAGCTTTGTAGGTGAATATAATTATAGCTGTATTATAAAAATTATATCATTATCATAATCAGCCTATTATGGACATAGGCCTCTCCCAGCGCACTCCTAAATTAAAGAATGCCTTTAATATAGGTATTTTGTACCAGTCAACCTCTATGATGTGCAGAGATACTCGATGATGGTTTAAATAATAATATAACATATTATTTACTGTGTAATATATTTTAGCAATATATTTTAATGTGAATTAGAAATAATGATCATGCTGAGCATGATCATTATTTCTAATTTTTATCAGCCGCTCTACATATGTCTTGCAATTATGTAGTGTATTAGTACCTAGTGAAACATTGATGTGACTAAAAAATGCAGTCTGCAGACTTTATGCTGACATTTATTTGCTTAACGTGAGCATAATCTGAACTATACATTATGGTTTACTATTTTAACATTATTGACTCAATATAAATTGTGTTATAGGCAAACCACCAATGTGTTCAGCTTGGATATGCCAGTGCATATTATATGCTGCCCTTGCAACATTCTCCAAATCGGTGCTAGCCCTTGTGCTTCGGTTGCCACCAGTCGTAACAGTATTGTCAAGACTGCCACTCTCACCTGTCTCTGATCCAAGGCTAGAACTTGCAGTTGTGCTTCTCATCATTCCATTTTTTGTTAATGTAAGTTTTTATTAATTAAGTATAAAAACAAGGAACATTATCTACTAACAAATTAAAACCTATTGCAACACTAGAGAATATGATAGAGACAAAAAACTTATGTTTTTGTTCTAAATTGGAATACTGAAATTCGAATTTACACTCTATTTAAACTTTAGTAGTTTTTATACCACTGAGATGCCAAACAAGCATGTAATCCACTTGGTAAGTAATAAACCTGCAATACTAGAGCCATTATGTACTTGTTGTCACCACTAAAGAAAGTGCTGTAGTTTATTAAGAAAATTTATGCTCCATACCCATATTTAATATCGTCATAGAATACTGATGGATATATATATTTAATATTTGTCAGACCCGTCAGTATTCTACGACTATGATGATATGCTGTGTATGTGTCACTGGATTGCTACAAGTCTAGAAGAGTAGAGCATATGCAGTAAAAAGTTTAATTCAAACTATACACATTAATTTATGTTATAAAAAATCTAATAAAATAAGGTGTTGTTGCACAGTAAAAACAATATTTCAATTTTGTTTATATTTGCGTCATTTATGTATTCCATTAATCTGTATGTGTGTATATCATAGTTAATATTTGAACATTTGTACAAATACACTTTAGTAATAAGTGAAGTTATTTGAACACATGAGATTAAATTGACGTAAAAGCCACATGATTACGTCACAACACATTTGTTGTGTTACTTACCCATATCGTACATTGTATAAATAGTAGATAATTGATATACTTATGTACAAGTATTCTATGTTTCTCATAACCGTTGTCATTGATTAGTTACTCGATTTCTGCCATCATAAAACATATATAATTGAAATTTGATAGATAGGAGACATGGCGGCTGTTTGTTCATAAGAATACCTACTTTTATCATCTTGGTATAGAGTTTTATTTCGAATTATTCTTTTAATGCACTAGTGTAGAGTACTTGGTTTTCTTATACGCTTCTTAATCTGTTTTGGTAATGAATAGGAATGTTGATACATTGTATTCTAATTTCTTAGCACATTAAAATATCCTGTACATATATGTAACACAAAGATCATATTTACGTTACGATCACGTTTAAAATAAATCAGCTTGAAGTAAATAAATAAATATGATTAGAATTCTTTTTTAGCTTTCCGGAATGCCGAATTATGTATTTTTTTTTTAAACTAGGGGACAAATAAAAGTAATGTATTAGATTACTCCCAGAGTTTGGATGTATCCCAGACTACAGGTTTCCATTCCTGTGAATTTTGGAATCGTCTTTTTGTTGAAATTAAACCTACTTATAATTTTTCTGTATTTATTTATTTCAGATATTAATATTTTGGGTAACAGACAACTTCCTAATGTATCATCCGAGAGGAGTTCACTCAAGAATTAAAACGAAGGTATGTAGCTATCAATATTAAATTGACCTAAGACATGTATAATTAGATTAGAAAATAAGTCGCTTTTTGTCTGTTATCTTAAAGTGACTGACTTTTAATAAAGTAACATGATAACGTATCTAATACATAGGAACAGAACATTTTAACTGGACTGGTTTATGAATTATATCCAATGTAAACTGAGAAATATTTTAAGTGAAAAATAAATTGATTCACTAGCGGTAACTGTTGTATAATAACAACAACAAAAAGTAATATTTAGAGTCTTGACTGTTACTAGTAATAATTGTGAACATATGTAATTTTAACATATTTATAAGGTGATACAATAAGACTTAAATGTGTAAATGATTGATATTGTATCACTTATGAAAAACTGAAAAGTGTTCATTCATGTCATGTAGGCGGGACAGTCCATATACTGTAATCTTGTGGAACTTGTGTGTAAAATTCACTTTAATAAATATTAATCATCTTCAATAGACTTCAATAAATTATTATTATATTTTTAGGTGCGATATCAGTCTATAAAGAAAGAGAAATCTGGCTCTGACGAAGAGGAGCATTCTGCTGATGAAAGGCTGTTAGGTGCTAGTGTATGACCCTACAGCCGGCCCACTGTTTTCCGGGCATAACCATTGTAATCTCTTAGTTATGTAGGTAGGTAACTGCCACTTGTCTTTGCTATCTGAATTACAGTCATGAGTCTATTAGATTGTCCGTAATAAAATTTTGTGTGTAAAAATCGAATTACTCTTGAAGCGAAAAATACTGTTTAAATCAAACGCCTTAATAAATCTTTGTTATAAGAATAAGTAAAATGGGCAGAAGTGAGCTTTATATGCTTTCCTTTGTGAGTTTGGCGATGCCTCCTAATATAGCCTTCTTCACCCTTCACACTATGTGGAATGTAAAGGGAAGAAGGCTATATTAGTTTGTAAGAAGTGCTACAAATTTATTCACATATAACAATTTTATGTTAAGACTAGACGCGACGCACGCGTCACATGTTTAAGTCAGCAAGAGAGATGCTCTCATTGTGTCTGTTGCTTGCAAACCCTGACTGATTTAACTTTTAATAAGATGTGTCAGTTCTACCTGTATATTTATTCTTATGGTTATATATTTTAAGGTCTTTTATCGATTGCTCACTTCTTCTTTGTACGTTATTGATATAAATGATTAAAAATTATTGAGTTTTCGGTACATGAAATATCATGCGTAGCGTAGTATCAAACAAATTTGTTCATATGCAATATCTGACATGTTAATTTAGTGAAGGCAAGTGGGACACTGAACAAAAAATAAATCAATATCATGTAAATGGTTAGAAAAACATCTAGCATGTTGCTAAATAATTATAGTCTATTAACTAATTTCGATCTTTTAGAATGTACATTGATTTTTATGAGTACCAACTTTTAAGAAAGATACAAGAATGTTTTTCGAAATCACTGGCATATAGTTTAGTGTAGTGACACCCTTGGTTTTCATGTCAATTGGGTATTTAAGTCGTCTATAAATAGACGAGAGATAAAAAGCTATGTCAATCTTTTGCCCGTTAAAATAGAAAACAAGTCCTTGTGAAGAACACAATGTGAAATTTAGCTTTTAGCATACAATATCCTGATTCCCATTAGGTTTTTTTGACTAAGATAATAAAATATATTATTGTCTCTTCTAAAATTTAGCCACCTCACAAAATGACTTTGCTCTTAAGTCTGGTATCCCTATTATAACATAGTGAAGCTCTGGTTTAAAACTATTTTTTAATACTGACCCTGTATTTAGAATGTCTGTAGTCTAATTGAAAACACAGTCGGTCATCCGGTTGAGCTAAAGGTTAGATTTTTCACTTAATATAAATCTCTGGTTGTAATAAAAAAATGTGCACTCTAGGAGATGGAATATGGTTAACTTGCTGTATACAGGACTTTGGCATAATTTGTATGCATTTGTAAAGTATATTATGTATAGTTATATCGGCAATTAATATGTTATATCGAAAATGGCCTTTATTTGTACCTATTGATTGAATAAGGCAATATATTATTATATGTAAATACTATATACATTTTTTTATATCAAAAGTGTTCATTTATATTCCTGTATATCCGTAGAAAAATATTGTGATATCCTTGTTATTGTACCTAATTTTCTTATCGGTTTTAATAATAAAATTTAGAAATGAAACAGTACAAAAATACCTATGTTTCCGTCTTGTAGTGTTCACAAGAAAATTAGTATTATAAAAAGATATTAGCCTAAAATAGCAATACTCCATTCCGTTAATGATGACGATAAAATCATTGTTAAGTACATTACTCAGCTAATTAACCATTGATAAATTTTATTTTATAATTTAATGGAACCACTGGTTATTATTTAAAAAAATGGTAGAAGCAGGAATTGGAATATTTTTGATGTTGTTCGAGAACCCAAATATGTACAAAGCCATTTTTAATTAAAAATTGTTATATATTTTTATATATTTATTTTTAAAACGAAAATGTAAACGTTCCTAAATGGTATAAGTACTTAGATTCTCACAGTAGTGCCATGTATTGATTTGATTTAATTTGAAAATGTACTAACACATCGAATTAAGACTGATCAGTCTAAAAAAAACTATCTTCCAACAATGTGTATATTAAAAATGTGGTTCACTAAGTACCCTCGAATCACTTGAGAGATAAAATTATTTTTGAAACATTCAGACGTAATTGTTTAATTAATGTCTGAATTGACTCCACTATCATTGTTAATATGCGAAGATGTTTAATGTGATACTTTAAAAAATTTATTTAGTAGAGATGAAACGGATATCCGGTAACTATCCGGTATCCGGCCTGTCTGGCGGCCTTAATACTATCCGGCCGAATAGTAGTTATCCGGTATTCGTCACGCCGCTGAATTAAAAAAAAATTGATAAAAAAATATATTTTTAATTATTTATTTGCTTTGTGCAGTTAGTCTTAGTATCACTTAAGAAATATAATTAGTTTTAGTTTTAAATTTTTAATCACACAATAGTAAATTAATGTGTAAATTAAAAAAAAAAATAGAAAATTAATTAATTAGTACTCATACTGCACTAAAGGCAAATTATGGTGATTAAATACTAATTTCTCTGCATTGGAGGTAGTAAGCGGTTTAGCTTGTCTTTATAAATAAGGCTATCTTCAGAAAAAAGTCTTTCGCTATACACATTGCTGCAAGGTGCTGAAAGATAGATTATGGCAAACTTTGTTAAATTTGGGTATTGTTTTGCATTAGGTGTCCATCAAGTATAAGGGTCACGATTGCGATCAATTCGCACTGACAGCCGGATATCCAGCTATTCGGCCACATGGTTAGCTGAATATCCGGTATCCGGTATCCGGCTAAACTGCTATCCGTTTTATCTCTAATATTTAGTCCAGCAGAAACTATATATTTTACTATCGTAAAGTAAAAATACATAGTCTCTGTATTCTGAATGGATTTGTGAAGGTTTTTGACTTTTTATGTATCTTTATACATATATTTTTCGAGTCAACGAGTTAGTTCGATATTTAAAACAATATAAGACAGTGTATCAAGTCAACTTTTTGTGATGATTAGATTTTATATTACTTTTATTTTAATTAAAAAACATTGTTTATTGGAACATGGGTCTACCATTAAATGTAAATGAACTCATTGGTTATTGTGATGAAATGTAAATATATGTGGGTAAGGTCAGGTTTTGTAAAAAATAAAAGTGTACATAATATACCTATATATTTGTGCAGCTATTTATTGTTTGTGCGAATATAAATTCACTAAACGTTAATATGTTGTTTAATTTTTCAATAGTTTTGAATAAAGAGCACCATATTTCAACCAAATATACAATTATATCCGGTCTGACTTCATTAGTAAATTGAAGCTTATGGGGGCTTCTATTTAGATCGACATGATGATGAGAAATTGTAGGCTGAATAAGCTGTGTATTGAAAAAATATACCACAGTATCTGTCTTCTAAGCTTCTAACTTAAGGTAACTTTATTTGAACGATTTAGAAAATAAACTACAATCAATGGAATCCACTGCCAACAGCAGTATTTCTGAACCAATACATTTTAATTTTTAAGAAAAAGATATTACTTTTTAAAAGACTGGCAGTACATCTGCAATTACTCTGGTGTAACGGGTGCTCATGGGCGGCGGTAGTCATTCATCCGCAGGTGAGCTGCGGGCTCGTCTTTGTATTTAATAAAATACAATATTTTTTAAACGTTAAAAGAAAATATTTGCAAAACGATGTATAGAAATCCATTGTATCTAGATTGTACGTAAAACTGCTGTACACGGCGCTGGTATATTCATTTTGAACTATTCGACTCGTAGTGCATAAATATGTTATACTTAGTGTATGGTTCGACTCAACTTTCTAGCCCATACCGTAATATAATGAACTTTTAACAGGTATCGAACAAATTCCATACATCGAAAGTTGTCAGTCCAATAAATAGGTTACAGGTAGGTTGTTCAAACTTTTGTTCATTTTAATTTTGTTTTAGTAACATTACAAGTCAATCACCACGTTGCCATGGTTATATTATTGAGTTCTTCAATAGAATATGCATTTGTGTATTACAAATTTGAATGCAATATTTGATGGAGTTTGTCGTTTACTTAACTTTAATTATGTTTTAGTTGCAAGTATTATTGTTAATTTAGAAAATGAATGAAAGTGAGCTGAGGAAACTTTTACAAACAAAGAATGGGTGTCGGGTTCCCGTCATGCGACCTATACCGGATGTTCACAAGATGGATAAACTGCCCTTTATACCGCTACCACCTTACAACAGAATTAAGGTAATATTCGAGTTGTGATATATTGACTAAATACAAACTACCATAAGTACTGACAAACAAACATTGGACACGTAAGCTATTCAGTGTTTCTAGCTAGATAGGTAGGTACTTATCTACTACTGAGATTTCACCAAATGGAAACCTGTAAGCCTAGGCATTTACCCAAAATATCATTGAAAATGCATGTGCACTTTCAGTGGGATTTCCTCTATTGGACGCAGGGACAGACAAATGAGTTTCTTGTTGAGGTTTTTCTCGGTTATAGAATTATCTCTTGCAAAGTATATGCTATTCAAAATATTTAAAAAACTTGCGAAAAGAAAACGTAAGTATGAACTAAATGACACTAATCCATTAAAAATTTCATGTGATGACATGGCTTGAATACATGTGTCATCACTTTTTTCGTACATAAGAGACGACTACGGATTACGAAATATATACAATACAAGGGGGGAAAAGGGATTGTTAGTAATGGAGACTAAGAATCCCATTGCTAGCAATATATCCAACCAGATCGACCTCCTCGCGGTTCCCCCTGGAAACTATCATGACAAATTTCTGCTGAATTCATCATGATGGGCTAACTGGCCTGTTTTCATCCTCATCGATCACCCTTCACTGGTGCCCTGCCAGCGTATCCCATTAGCGCAGGCGAGGTTACCACTCCATTTTCATCCAATAAAAAAAAAAATACAATACACTAAGTACTAAGTAGGTACTTTTTTATGGGTGATAATGGAATGGTAACCCCGCTCGCGTTATCAGTATACACTGGTGGGGTACCAGTGAGAGACGATAGGTAAAGATGTAACAGATCAGTTAGCTCATCCTGATGAATTTCACTAGAATTAACCAAGATGGTTTCCAGAGAGAACCGCGTGGAAATCGACCTGATAGGGTATATTGCTAGTAATGGGGATCTAATAGCAATGGAGCTATTAGATCCCCATTACTGGCAATCCCTTCCTCCTATTAAGTAGGTACCTACTAGGTACTAACTAGGTAGTAGGTACTTGAAAAATAAAACCCTATAGGTAGGTACTAAGCCATACGACCAGCATGATTGTAGGGGTTTATTCCCAATCCCCCCTCCCTCTGAGAGACTGTAACTGGAAGGCTATTATTTATTTTTTATTATGATGATAATAAATATTTAAAACAACATTTTCGTACTTGTGTTTTAATATAAAATCTGTTTTATCAATAAGGACCCTTATAATATTACAGGACAAACAAGCAAAATTTCGTAAAGTTCTTGAAGAGAGAGCATGTCAGAGAAAGGTGGAAATTGCTCGACCGCTACTGCAGCCCTGTGAACGTGACCGTCTTGAGATTTCACAATCACGCCATATAGCTGTTCTGCGTGAATGTGCAGAAAAGATACGGTCTCCCCCAATGCTCAAATCATGGGAAAGGAAAATATGTAGTCTAATACCTTTAAAGTTACGTCAGACATTTCCTTCTATGATGGAAGAATTAATTGAAGAAAGTAAAAGTGAATGGAATCGCAACCTTCATGACCTTGCTGTTAAAACTATTATTCGCGAAGTTCCTGGAGTACCTCGCAAACGTTACAAGGAACCCTATTTCAAATTTAGAGGTATCACCGAACTCTATGACAAAATGGTTAAATATAGAAATAAACTTCAGGATGGATCACTTTTTCTGCATCCATTCATTCGGTTAGTTCTTGAATCATCAGAAAAGACGTTTCCTAACGCTATAATTGATTTAGCAAAATACCGAGCTAAAGGGCCCATGGATTTAGAAGAATTTCAACTGAATATAATGGAAGTAATCAAACGTGCTGATTATTTAGTATCGAGTACTTGGTATTCGATATTGATAAATTGGTTAAAAAATCCGAGATGTCTTAAAGGTATGCGACCAAAAAAAGTACCTGAATTCGTAAAATGCGCTACTAAAATGATATCCATGCAAATACAAGAATTAATGCGTAGATCTATTGACGCTATTATAGAGTCACTAAAAGATCCCGACTCAGTACCCATTTTAAATATTGCTTTAGATTTTAATGGGGAGTTCATATATGATCCATCTCTTGAAACTGTGTATAGTGTATATCATAGTATTGCAGATGCAATCTGTCATATTTCTCAAAGACTAATGCCCATAGAGCAATATCTTAAAATATCATACAGTTACGATGCGTTACCTGTACAGTATAATGAATGGTTACACAAAGACGGTCACGAAAGATTGCGAAAACAGTTAGACATAGTGTTCACCCCACTTAATCAATATTTAGAACGATTAAGGAATGAATATAACATGCTTTATGGAGCTCCAGCAAAAGCCACTGTTATAAAATTTATAGAACAAACTGAAGAATTTAATTTGGGCCGAGACAAAATAAAGTATTTTCAATCCATAGATTCTCATATAACTGCAGTTTTAGAAAATGAATATTTTAATTGCGCTGTAGTTTGCCAGCTAAGAATGGTTGATGGCTTAAAAAGAAAAGTCCTAGAATTCGTCAATGATATAATAGCGGGCATAGTGAAGACACACATGGAAGAAAATTATAGCATTTGTTCTGAGTTTGAAATAATAGCAGCAAAAGCTTTAAAAGAGCCAGAAAATGCAGCTGAGTTGATAGAACAGGGTTTGTATATTTTACACGCTAAAACTGTTTTAGTCGAAGCTTTAAAAGAAAGAATTTTATCTCAAATCAATATAATTTCTAATCTTTTAGAAATGACCTCATTAACTCCAGAACATGTTGCATGTAATACTCGAACTGTAAATTGGCTGACGGATATCAAACCCATATTTGAAAGAAATGCTGCGGCTTATGAAACATTTAAAGCAGAAATGGAAGAAAATCTTCTAGCAAAGATTGCATATCTCAATAAAGAAGTTTTAGAAATGACACCTTATTTAGAACTTCTAGACAACATGGATGATATTGATCATACCCTTGAATATTTAGAATATTTGAGAAAACTTGTACATCGTTTAGATGGCTGTGATAAGCTTGTAGCATGGATAAACAACGAAGAAGCAACTTTTAAATTTCCATTAACAAATTACCCTGATTTAGAAGAGTTAAAAGATTTTATTTTACCATTTCATAGTCTCGTTTATTTAGTCCATCGCTGGAAACGAAGTTACTACACATGGATGGATGGACCATTCGAATACATGGATCATGATCAAATTGAACAAGATCATGACTTTTACTATAAAGAATTTTTGAAATTATCGAAGAATTATAAAAACAAAATTAAACAACAAATAGCTGAAGGCATCGAGAAACGATTTCAGGGTCTTGTCGATGATCCCGATGTTAATAATCTTCCCGCTCCTATGAAACTTTGTGCCCAAGCTATTGCCGAAATAAAAAGTTGGAGGCCAAATGTTCAAATGGCTCACATAATGTGTAATCCAGCATTAGTGCAACGTCATTGGGATGAAATGTCAACCATTGCAGGTTTCGATCTTACTCCTACAGCAGGTACTACATTACGTAAAATTATAAATTTCAACCTGTGGGATGACATTGATCAATATGAAATTATAAGCGTGGCTGCAACTAAAGAATTAGCATTGATAACTAATTTAAATAAAATGATAACCGAATGGACAGATATATGTTTTAAAACCAGCCTTTATAAAGACACTGGAATTTTTATATTATCGGGTCTCGACGATATTCAAAGTGTTCTGGATGAGCATATTGTTAAAACAGTTGGTATGCGTGGTTCTGCATTTGTCAAGCCCTTTGAAGCTCAAGTAAGAGCATGGTATGACAAAATTATGAGAATCAACTCCACTATTGACGAATGGGGCAAAGTTCAAAGTCAGTGGTTGTATTTGTTACCTATATTTTCTTCCAAAGATATAGTTGCTCAGATGCCAGAAGAGGGAGTGATGTTTATGGAAGTCAATAATATTTACCGTCGGTATATGGGTTCAGTTGATAAAGACCCTCATGTTCTAGAAATTGCAGGTGGAACTGGAGTATTGGAGTCATTTAAAACTGCTTCCGCATTTTTAGAAAAGATCAATGATGGTGTTAATAATTATTTAGAAAAAAAGCGATTATATTTTCCTAGATTTTTCTTTTTGTCAAATGACGAAATGTTGGAAATTTTATCTGAAACAAAAAATCCTCTAAAAGTGCAACCACATCTAAAAAAATGTTTTGAGGGTATTAATAGGTTAGTTTTCGATGAAGAATTTAATATATCAGCCATGATATCTATGGAAGGTGAACAAGTAGAATTCTTAGATATTATAAATGTAGCCGCTGCTCGTGGTTCTGTAGAAAAATGGCTAGTTCAAGTAGAAGAACAAATGCTTGCTGCAGTTAAATCAGAAACTGAATTGTCCTATTATGATTATCCAAATATGGGGCGCGTAGAATGGATACTTTCTTGGGAAGGCATGGTGGTGTTAGGGGTATCTCAAATTTATTGGGCTGTGGATGTTCATGAAGCATTAAGTACTCATAAGCTAAGTGAACTTCAAGCGTTTCATGTGCACTTGACTAAACAACTTAATGAAACAGTTGCTGTTATTAGACGTACAGATTTAACTAAACTTAACAGTATTACTGTCAAGGCTCTTATTGTTATTGATGTACATGCGAAAGATGTAATATTTGAACTAGTAGGAAAAAATGTAACTGAAGTTACTGATTTTCAATGGCTAGCACAATTACGGTATTATTGGGAAGAAGAAAGAGTATTTGTAAAAATTATTAATGCTACTGTTAATTATGCTTATGAATATTTAGGTAATTCAGATCGGTTAGTAATAACACCTTTAACAGATCGTTGTTATCGTACTCTAATTGGTGCATATTATCTACATTTAAATGGCGCTCCTGAAGGCCCAGCTGGTACCGGTAAAACTGAAACAACAAAAGATTTAGCCAAAGCTCTAGCTGTACAATGTGTCGTGTTTAATTGTTCCGATGGGTTAGATTATAAAGCAATGGGTAAATTTTTTAAAGGCTTAGCTTCTTGTGGTGCTTGGGTTTGTTTTGACGAATTCAATAGAATCGAAGTCGAAGTTTTATCCGTCATAGCACAACAAATTTTATGCATTGTACAAGCAGTAAGACAACATTTAGAAACATTTGATTTTGAAGGTACTATTTTAACTTTGAATCCAGCTTGTTATGTTTGTATTACAATGAACCCAGGTTATGCAGGACGTTCAGAATTACCGGATAATCTCAAAGTATTGTTTCGTACTGTTGCAATGATGGTTCCGGATTATGCCATGATTGGCGAAATTTCATTGTACTCGTTTGGATTCATTGATGCTCGAAATTTGTCCATTAAAATAGTGACTACATATCGTCTTTGTTCCGAACAGTTATCATCGCAAAATCACTATGACTATGGTATGCGTGCGGTTAAAACAGTTCTATCTGCTGCGGGTAATTTAAAAAGAAGCTTTCCAAATGAAAGTGAAAGTATATTATTACTTAGATCAATTACTGACGTTAATTTGCCCAAATTTCAGTCTTTTGATGTGCCTTTATTTAAAGGTATTATATCTGATTTATTTCCTGGAATTACATTGCCAAAGCCAGATTATTTAAACTTTTTAAATGCTTGTCATGATTGTTGTAAAAAAAATAATTTGCAACTAATGGAATGCTTTTTAATTAAAATTATTCAAACATATGAAATGATGATTGTTAGACATGGGTTTATGTTAGTCGGTGATCCATTTGCTGGTAAATCGGTAACTTTAAAAATTTTGTCTGAAGCATTGACTTTAATGGAAGAAAGAAAACAACCTGATGGATGTGCATGCACTTATAAAGTTTTAAATCCAAAAGCTGTTACGATGGGTCAGCTCTATGGCGCTTTTGACCCTATTTCTTATGAATGGACAGATGGGATTGTAGCTACTATGTTTAGAGATTTCGCGTCTGAAGATACTCCTGTTAAAAAATGGATAGTTTTTGATGGCCCTGTGGATGCTGTGTGGATTGAAAATATGAATACCGTCTTAGATGATAATAAAAAGCTTTGTCTCACATCGGGAGAGGTTATGGCTATGTCAAATGTTATGTCAATGATTTTTGAAGTAATGGATCTATCTCAAGCATCTCCAGCCACAGTATCAAGATGCGGTATGATATACATGGAGTCATCCTCACTTGGCTTTATGCCGTTTTATAAATCATGGATTAATACTCTCAACCCAATATGGCTAGAAGAAAATGAAGAATTTATTTTTAACATGTGTGAATGGTTATTTGATCCATTAGTGTACTACATTAGAAAATATTGTAGTCAGCTAGTGACTGGTGGAGAAGTAAACTTAATTATTAGCTCTCTTCGTCTTATTGAAATGTTAATGGATAATGCAATAGAAGGAGAAGAAGATACGAAATACACGAGGACGTGGTTTTTAGCATCTTTTATGACTGCGATGGTGTGGGGAGTTGGAGGAATACTAACTAGTGAATCCCGTGAAAAATTTGATGATTTAGTTAAAGAATATTTCAAAGGAGAAAAAGGTATTCCTGATAACCTAGACCGCTTGGATATATCAATACCTTCTGAAGGCATGTTAATTGATCATTATTATATGTACAAAGGAAAAGGATGTTGGAAACCATGGTCTGAAGCTGTAAAGTCTGTTCAAGTAAAAGAACAAATCAATCTCCTACAAACTGTAATACCTACTTTAGAAACTGAAAAATACATATTCCTTTTGAAACTACATACAAAATTTTCCAAACCCCTGTTACTGATCGGACCCACTGGAACAGGCAAAAGCTTTTATGTTCAAAATTTTTTAATGAATAGTCTTGATATGGATAAGTATACTCCTGGTTTCATTACATTTACGACTACTACTTCTGCTAATCAAACACAGGATTTAGTTATTTCAAAACTCATTAAAAGGAGAAAAAATAATTACGGCCCCACTAAAGGTAAACAAGCCATAATTTTTATTGATGATATGAATATGCCGGTTAAGGAAGTGTATGGTGCACAACCAGCAATAGAATTATTACGGTTGTATTTTGATCATAAATATTGGTATGACCTTAAAACAACAGAAAAATTGTATATATACGATACATTTTTTTATGGTGCCATAGGCCCTGTTGCTGGAAGTCGTCAGTTGATATATCCACGAATGTTACGGCATTATAATATTTATTCTATAAATGAATTTTCAAAAGAATGTATGTCTAAAATATTTACATCTTTATTACAACTTGGTTGGAGAAGAAATGGATTTGGTCAGGATACACAACCTATAATAGTTAACATAATCAGTGCCACAATAGAAATATATGATCAAGCAACAGAAACTTTAAGACCAACGCCTGCTAAATCACATTACATATTCAATTTAAGGGATTTTTCAAGAGTTATACAAGGTTGCGCTTTATTGAGAAAAGAATCAGCTGATAACAAAAAAACTTTTACAAGAGTTTGGGTTCATGAAATTATGCGAGTATTTTATGACAGGTTAGTTGATGAGGAGGATCGTAGCTGGTTTTTTGGAATACTCAAAAAGTCTACACGTGATTTCATGAAAGAAACATTTGAATCAGCTTTAGATACTTATCAAGAGGATAATGGAGAAGTTACACAAGATAGTATAAAAAGAATGATGTTTGGTTGTTACTTAGATACTGAGAGTTTAGAAGGAGAACGACGTTATGAGGAATTGCCTTCTAAAGAATTATTTTTGAACGTAGCCATATCAATGTTAACTGAATACAACTCCATGCACAAAGCAAAAATGACAATAGTTTTATTTGACTATGCTTTAGAGCATTTATCTAAAATATGTCGTTTACTATCCATGCCCTCTGGAAATGCTTTATTAGTTGGAGTTGGTGGTTCTGGGCGTCAATCGCTTACACGATTAGCCAGTACCATTTTAGGACAGCAAGTTTTTCAGCCTGAAATCACAAAATCCTATAGTGTTAAAGATTGGCATGATGACATAAAATTAGTTCTTCGTGAATCTGGCGGTTTAAATAAAGACACTACTTTTTTGTTTACTGAAAGTCAAATTAAGGAAGAAGTATTTATTCAAAATTTAGACAGTCTCTTAAATTCTGGAGAGGTACCTAATTTATACGGTCTAGACGAGAAGCAAGAAATTTTAGAATTGGTTCGATTAGCTGCGCAAGGAGGAAATAGAAATTTAGATATAAGCCCGCTTCAAATTTTGTCCTTTTTCGTAGGTCGCTGTAAAGCTAAGTTACATATTGTATTATGTTTTAGTCCTATTGGGAGCTCCTTTAGAACAAGATTAAGGCTTTATCCATCCTTGGTTAATTGTTGTACAATTGATTGGTACGATAGTTGGCCTGAAGATGCTTTAGAAATGGTAGCCCATCATTACATGGTGAACGTGAATGTACCGGACATAGTAAAATTATCCGCTGTTATAGCTTGTAAACAGTTTCATGTGGATGCACGTATTATTTCTGCTGACTTTTATAGTAAACTTGGAAGAAAAACATACATTACATCAGCTTCATATCTTGATTTAATAAAATCATTTACTACTTTGACAAATAGAAGACAAAGAGAATTAAGAGCTGCAAAATTACGATATACAAATGGCTTAGATAAATTAGGGCAAGCAGCAGAAGTGGTGTCAATTATGCAGCGTGATCTTAATGCGTTAAAACCACAGCTGATTATTATGGCAGCTAAATCAGCAAAAATGATGGAAGAAATAGAAGTGGAAACAGCTACAGCAGATAAAGCTGCTGCGCAAGTAAGGGAAGACCAAAAAGTTGCAAATGTACAAGCAGCTGCAGCTCAAGAATTAAAAAAAGATTGTGAGGCCGATTTAGCGCTAGCTCTACCTATTTTAGAAGATGCAATAGCAGCATTAAATACATTAAAACCTAGTGATATAACTATTGTAAAATCAATGAAAAACCCACCAGCTACTGTTAAATTAGTTATGGCTGCTGTATGTGTTATGAAAGGAATCCCTCCTGATAAGATTCCAGATCCAGACAATCCAGGAAAAAAGATATTCGATTTTTGGGGGCCAAGTAAAAGAATTTTAGGTGATATGGGGTTCTTGGATTCCTTACGAAATTTTGACAAAGACAACATACCTGTAGCCACAATGCAAAAGATTAGAAAAGAATATTTATCAAACAAAGATTTTAAACCTCATATAATTGCTAAAGCATCTGCAGCAGCTGAAGGTTTGTGTAAATGGATAATAGCTATGGACATGTATGATGCTGTTGCTAAAGTCGTAGCGCCAAAAAAGGCCAAATTAGAGGCTGCGGAAAAGGAATTTGCTGAAACTATGGCAATATTAGAAGAAAAAAAAGCAACTGTAGCACGTTTAGAAGCTAGATTAGCTGAATTAAATGAAGCATTAGAAGAAGCTAATATTAAAAAGAAAGCTTTAGAAGATGAAGTACAGTTATGTATAGATAAATTATATAGAGCGGAAAAACTGATTGGTGGTTTAGGCAGTGAAAAAGTTCGTTGGACTGCAGCTGCTGAAAATTTGCAATTACTATATGATAATTTGGCTGGAGATATATTAGTTTCTTGTGGTATAATTGCATATTTAGCTCCTTATACATTACCAGTGAGGATGGAAATGATTGATAAATGGCGTGCACTCGTTATTAAATTAGATATGCCACATTCTGAAGTATTTTTGTTTAAAGATATTTTGGGGTCTGATATTAAAATTCAGAATTGGTGTATAGCAGGATTACCGCGTGATTCTTTTTCAATTGATAACGGAATAATTCTAGATAATTCGATGCGATGGTCATTATTGGTTGATCCACAAGGACAAGCTAATAAATGGATTAAAACTATGGAAAAATCAAATGATTTACAAGTACTTAAATTTACTGATGAAAATTATATGAAAGTAATAGAAACATGTTTGGAGTATGGTAAACCCGCTTTGATAGATTGTATCTTAGAAGATGTTGAAGCTCCTTTAGACCCAGTTTTGCTTAAACACACTTATGTTCAAGGGAGTAAAGAATTTATAGCTTTGGGTGAAAATGTCATAGAATATCACCCCAATTTTAGACTTTATATGACCACAAAGTTGAGAAATCCTCATTATTTACCAGAGGTATTCAATAAAGTAACCCTCATAAACTTTGCATTAACTAAAGATGGATTAGAAGATCAATTACTAGGCATAGTTGTAGCTAAAGAAAGACCAGATTTACAAGAGAAAAGAGAAAAATTGATTATTCAAGGAGCTGCTAATCGTGCAGCACTTAAGCAAGTTGAGGATGATATTTTACGTACTTTACAGGAATCCAAGGGTGATATTCTAGAGGACGAAACCGCAATAGAAATTCTAGACTCTTCTAAATTACTTGCTATAGATATAATGAAAAAGCAAGAAGCAAGCTTAGAAACAGAAGTCATAATAGAGAAATTTAGACTCGGTTATAGGCCAATTGCTTCTCATTCTGCAGTGCTCTATTATTGTGTCACTGAATTGCCGAATGTAGATCCCATGTATCAATATTCATTGACTTGGTTTATTAATTTATATATCACATCAATCGAAAATGCTAATAAATCCAAAGATTTAGATAAAAGATTAAAATTTTTAAAAGAAACCTTTACATATAATTTGTATAGTAATGTTTGTCGATCACTTTTTGACAAAGATAAATTGATGTTTTCTTTTATCATGTGTTCGAAAATGATGCTGTCTACAGATAAAATGAATCGTGATGAATATTTATTTCTTATAACAGGTGGTATAGCTGTAGAAAATCTTTTGAAGAAGCCAGTCGAATGGTTATCAGATAAAAGCTGGGATGAAATATGTAGGATAAGTGACCTACCTGCTTTTACAGGATTTAAAGACCAATTTATAAGAGACGTTATTAAATGGAAGGAAGTATATGACGATTTAGAACCTCACAATAAAGCATTACCTGGTGGATGGGATGACAAATTAACTGTCTTTCAAAAATTATTGGTTATTAGAGTTTTGAGACCTGACAAACTAACTACTGCATTGTCCGACTTTGTAGAAAAGCAAATGGGCAAAAAATATATTACACCTCCTCTATTTGATATTAGTAAATCATTTGGGGACTCAAATTGTCTTGCACCATTAATATTTATCTTATCGCCTGGTTCAGATCCAATGGGAGCTCTGATTAAATATTGCGAAAGAATGGGTTATTTACATAGATTCAATTCGATATCGTTGGGTCAAGGACAAGGGCCTATAGCTAGGTCAATGATAGAAAGAGCACAATTAGAAGGTGGATGGGTATGCCTACAAAATTGTCACTTAGCTGTCTCTTGGCTTTCTGTCCTCGAAAAAATTGTTGAAGGATTTAATTTAACAAATACTGACCTTAGTTTCAGATTATGGTTAACTAGTTACCCATCTGATAAATTTCCACAATCTATATTACAAGTTGGAGTAAAAATGACAAATGAGCCCCCTACGGGCCTTCGACATAATTTGAATCGGTCATATATATCCGAACCATTAAAGGAACCTGAGTTTTATGAAGGATGCCCTGATAAAGACAAGCCTTTTAGCAAATTGCTATATGGCATAAGTTACTTTCATGCCGTAGTGCAAGAAAGAAAAAAATTCGGTCCACTAGGATGGAATATACAATATGGTTTCAATGACTCTGATTTTCAAATATCAGTTATGCAGTTACAAATGTTTTTAAATCAGTATGAAGAAATTCAATATGTGGCTATAAAATATTTAACAGGTGAATGTAATTACGGTGGTCGCGTCACTGACGATTGGGATCGGCGGTTAATAGTCACAATACTTGACAATTATGTAAATACAGATGTTGTTAATGACCCAAATTATTTATTCTGTGAATTAGGTTCACAGTATGGATTACCAAGGCGATGCGAGTATCAAGACTATCTCAAACATATTGAATCTGTACCTGTTAATCCACCACCTGAAGTATTTGGGTTACATATGAATGCTGGAATAACTCGTGATTATTCCATTTCTATGGCACTTACTGCTGCTTTGGTTCTCGTAGAAGGAACTGGATCTGGTGATGAAGGTGGAAATACAGAAATCATTCTCGTTCAAATGGCATCAGAGATTTTGTCGAAATTACCTCCAAAGTTTGATGTTGAAATTGCTCAAAGAAAATATCCGGTCGATTATAATGAATCAATGAATACTGTGCTGGTTCAAGAAATGGAAAGATTTAACAAATTATTGAATGAAATTAAAAATTCACTGATGGATCTTCAAAAAGCAGTAAAAGGGCTTATCGTTATGTCACCTGCATTAGATTTACAGTCAAATGCAATGCTCTTAGGCAAGATACCGGAAAACTGGCGTAAAAATTCTTATCCTAGTTTAAAACCGTTGCCAAGCTATGTAACAGATTTTGTTGAACGATTGGCTATGTTGGAAGACTGGTATCAAAATGGCAAACCACCAACATTTTGGCTATCTGGTTTCTTTTTCACCCAAGCGTTTCTTACAGGTTCAGTTCAAAACTTTGCTAGATCTAAAAAAATCCCCATAGATTTACTCACATTTGATTTCGAAGTACGTAAAGTTGATTATGAAATAACTCCTCCAAAATGGGGTGTGTATGTCCACGGTTTATTTATGGATGGAGGACGTTGGGATAGAGAAACATATGCCATCGGAGAACAATATCCAAAAATATTAAATGATAGCATGCCAGCACTTTGGCTGTATCCAAAGTTGAAGAAAGAATTTCAAGAGGGTACGCGATATAAATGTCCTTTATATAAAACATTAGAGAGAAAAGGTGTACTTGCGACAACAGGACACTCGTCCAACTTTGTGTTGGCCTTTTTCTTGCCTTCTGATAAACCTTCTGCACACTGGATAAAAAGAAGTGTAGCGTTATTACTTCAGCTAGATAGTTAATTTTTAATAAAAATTATAATCCCTACTAGACCTATATTTGAATATTCTTATATTAACTTTATATATCTTAAAGAATATAGTTATGTGTGGTTAATATACAGGTGTTACATATAGTAGATAGTAATATTTATTTTGATTCCGTGATTCAATTTATAAGACAACCTGTCATTAGGTACATTATATCGATAACGGAGCTATGGTTATTACCTATCATTCTAGATTTATTCGGACATATCTGGACTTTTAATCTTTAATCTTTTTTCAGTTACACCACTTTTTTAATAGAGGAAATCGCATTGAGATCATTTATCAGTGAAGCTCTTAACATTCACTTACTATGATTTTTGACAAGTCTCTACTTGTTACGACATAAAACCAATTTATATGTATATATAAATCCTTCTGATGTACCTAAGTGAAAAATATCTAACACTTCTCCTCTTTCCATACTTATCTTACCTTCTGTTGCAATGTTTATTACTTTGTTGTACTTGTGTGTTACTGGGTCGTCTTTATTAATAAATTTATCGGACGCTTTCAATATGACATATGGTGATATATAATAATATTGTGAACTGTATAATATTTAATATTTATTTCTGTTGCAAACTTAATTTGTTTGTAATATTTTTCTTTGTCCATTGTGATAATACTTATTTCTTATTTTATTTAATTTATAGTTAATAGTCAATATTGAAATTAAATTATTGATTTAATACAAATATGTTTTATTTAGATAAGGAAGTTAATATACACAGGTAATCAATATTTTTAATATAGACAAATAACAGATTTTTAAAATTGAGTTACTCTCTAATTTTTCTTCAACAAATCACGTCTGATGTTTTCTGTTTGAATCAATTTTCGTCGTAGCTTTAGCATTACAGCATTATTTCGTTTCTGAAGAATAAAAGATTTATTTAAATAAAGTTATACCTATCGTATAATATAATATCGAAACAATCGAAAAGATAGACTGAAATTTGGCGGTTTCTCAGAATCCAATGCGTACGTAATTTAAATTAAGATAAAGGTATGGATCCGAAATAAAAATGTTTCTGTACGTTCAAGACAAAATGTTCAAGAGAAGATGTGGAGGGGATTTTTAGTAAAGTTGTTAACGACCCCATTGCTAGTAATAATAAGTACCACACGATTATTATGGGGGACATATATACAGTGATATATATATATTGAATTATGAGGGACAAAGCAACGAACATCTAGGAGTAAAGCACTCAGAATCGAGCCAATTTAAAAAAGTTCGTTTCATGAATTGGCTGTAATGAGAATCGAACCCGGAACCTCATTGTGCAAACACAAAACAACAACCACTGCGCCAGGGAGATTGGCAGTACCTATATCAAAATTACAGGGTACGAGGCAACACCATAGTCCTCAGGAATTCTAACGTATCAGAAGTAACATGAATATTTCAGTGTATTCTGTAATTTACACGACTTTGCTCATATTTTATAGGTGCCGGTTATAGCTTTTCATCAGGTACCGTAAAAAACTGATGAAAACCATCGTTGTAAATTCATAATGAAATCACCACGATGGGCTAATTGACCTAACTGCATCCTCAATTATCATCCATCATCATTGGTACTGCAACAGCGTATCTAGCACAGGCGGGATCAGTATTTTAAGTATTTTCAGCCCACAAAAAAGTTGGACGATTCAGTACGCAGATAAATGTATGTCTCAGTAAGACCACACGTGAGAAAATGACCATAATAGTCATGCATCATACATTATAAATAATGTTGCCTATTTTATCTATGTCTTGACTACATTCTGCGCGTTGTAAAGCTAAAACTATCACATAGAAATAATCGTACTTTTAAGACAACACATTCGCGCTCAATATTATCGCATTCAAGTTCAACATTTGCGACATCTTTAGCTCGCTGTTCATTTTCTTCAGCCGCCTCTCTTTCTTTTTGTTTTTCGACTTCCTGTTCTACAGCTTCCTTTTCTCTCAGTTCTTTTTTGTAACTTTCGAAAATATTGTGTTCTGAAAAGCAATGCCTTGTTAAATAAAAATATTGCAGACAGATGACCCTAAACCAAAGATGTAGGACATAATGATTCTTCCTTCTGCCCTTTTCCCTTGTCTATTAATGGTCGACGTAATATGTTCTTAATATGTTCTTCTTCCATTCATCTCTATTTGCATGTTGTCCTCTCACTAGTCACTCCCTTTCTGACCATGTCATCATTCATATAGTGCAGCCACCTCTATTTGGGCTTTCTTTTGCACTTATAACTATTCACATTCATACATTTCCTACCACTTTCCTTCACATCACATGTCCATGCCATGATAAACGACTACTTCTCATCTTCTCCATTATTGGCACTACTTTCAAACTTCCTCTTATATGCTTATTCTTTTAAATTATCCATTCTTGTCACATCACACATCCATCTCAAAAATCATTTTAGTTTTATGAAGTCATATTTCATCCATCATTTTTACGGGCCAGAAAATCTAATATTTTATTTTCCTTAAAATGGTAATCGTTGCTGAAACATATGAATATCATAAAATATAAAATACATAATATATGTTGCCATTTCTCAAGGCGTTTTAGTGCTTATAAATAATACTATCTACCTCTGCTATTTTCATTTCTCTGTACCTCTTATATCTACAACAAGTCTACAAACTAATTTCACAAACCTTTAGCAAACATTTCTTCGAAACCTTTTGTATGACAACGAACATTATCAATTTGCGATCCTATTTTGGTCATTTCGGATGTTCTGCATATGTCGATCATGGATATTTGATATTTATATTGTGACAATTTATTTTTTATTATCTACACACAAACAAACAAATAATATTAATCAATATCTTTTGAAACTGAGATGATAATGGCTGAGAGGTTCGAATCCGTAAACATTAGAAAGTGAGATAGTGTCAGCTTAGGTACTCCTTATTCTTATAATCATCAAGATGTTCATATACTTAAGTATGTGGTTATAAAGAAGTTGTGCAAATATTTCTAAATTAGACATTAGATTTTCTTGTCAGTATAACCCCGAAAAACACCCATAAATATCTCTTACTTGTTATTTTTGCTGTGCTCTATCTAATTAAACGATCATGTGACCATATGGTTTGTAGAAACATTTAAAATCTATCTATATGTTTTCAATTCGGCTGTAACCTTTTATATTTGTTACCTCTTAACTCCGTCAGTTCTAAACTGAATTGAAAAATTCTTTTACTTACAGCTTGCTTCCAAAGAAATTTTATCATCATCAGATCAGTAGTTTAATTTTTAGATCAAAATAACTGGTTTTGTCACAATGGAAACCAGTTTTTGTAGGACACATTCTTTAATTATAAGGTCTGTTAGAAAATATATTATTCTATTACCAACAGTTGTTGTTTTAAAATGTTTATATCGGTGTTTACTGTGTTCAATTCATCAGAATAGCAACGCTCCATGTTGCGTAATTTACAAACTTCCTTTTCTTTATATAATTTTCGCTTTGTTGCTGCAAAACACGTAAAATAATGCGAACGACTACCTCTGTATGTAAATATGCACTGTACATTACGGGTATAAATTAAGCAAATAATGATACATACATATTTATTAATAGTTTTTGTGAGATGCAAGTTATTTTTATCAATAAAAAAATTATTGAGGCCAAAAGATATGCCATATTATAATATTCTGTTCACAAGATATTACCTACACTAAGATTCTCTGTGTCATGTCTTTTGCTTACAATTATCAAATTTTTAACAATTAACAAAGTTTAGTTATATATTTAAATATTCCGAGTTTTTTTTTTATTTACCTAACTGATTATAAAAAGGAGGAGGTAATAATTTTTTGTATTGTAAAATCAATTATATTTATGTTACATAATATCTTTGGCCTTTCTCTTAATTGAAATTTCTTAGGACTCTACTTATTTGTACAGTTTGAAGTTATATTTTTTTAAAAAAAATTGTAATGGAAACAAACTGACGGACCTCCTGATGGAAAGAGGTAGCCTTCACCTATAGACATGATCAGCACCATGGATCCCAGAATACATTGTGACATATATTATTCTTAATGTTTTACCATTTTAGTGGATTATATGGGACACAGCATTATAGCAGAACAACTCATATCTTAGACTCGAATATAATACTCATATATTCTGAGATTTTAACTCTATCTACTTAATTCATACTAATATTATAAATGCGAAAGTTAATAAATATATAGATGTTTGTTACTCTTTCACGCAAAAACTATTTCTTATATGGTTTTGAATCAAATTTGATACACGTGTAAGTTATATCCTAACCTTACCTAACATGTAAAATATTTTTATTTTGACTAGCTTATACCAACGATTCAGTCAATGTGACTAGGATATATCCCCTGACCAGGACAAAAAGTAATAGGTACTTTTTATCCATACAGGTAATATATGTATACCAAATTTTATGACTTGTTAAGGCGTTAGAAGGTAACAAAAATAAACTCAGTTTCACATATATAATATCAATACAATAAAAAAAAAACTACTATATTAATAGTGTAAGGATGCACGAATGGCGAAGTCATGGGAACCAGTTAGTAGAAAATATTTTTAAGCTAACCAGATAATAGTTTTAATTTTAAAGATTCATTCTCCTCAGTAGACATTTCAATTAGATATTGTTTAAATTATTTATAATACAAACATTTAATTAGGTTTGAGCACCTTTATTGTTAATAATAAATCAATAGTCCTTAGATTTTTGATTTGGCGCGTAATTACTACATATGTTTTTTTTTCTCTTCATATGGCACGCCACAAAGTGCGTCCGCTAAAAACAAATCTACATATATTTTCATACTGTGATTATTTCTTGTAATTGTTTATATCTATCAAAGAGTATAAGTATCTATAATAAGTTTATTATTATAATCTTTTGGAGGAAATAATAAAGAGTATCTATCTATGTACCTATTTAGCATGGATTAAGGACCTAAATCTACTTGATCTACAGAGTTTTTACACACAAAATTTTATGCCTCATAAACAATGCATAATCACTTTGTAATCAATTGCTAATTGGAAAAAAAATATATAATTGCATGATTGCACTCTAACTGTTGAATAGATTAGGTATTTTTTTTAAATGGATGATAATGGAATGATAATCCCACCTGCGCTAATGATATACACAGGTGGGGCACCAATGAGATATAATAAGTGAGGATGAAAAGGCAGGTCCCTTAGCCCATCGTGATCATAGACTTAGTATACCGTACTGTTTTACATTATATAGATAAAGTCATCATCTACAAAATATTTTTTACTTTTCATAATCATATTAGCTTTTACCTGTCTACTGCTGAACATAAGGGGGGTTTTGCCGGTAGTTGCCATTAGCAGGCGGATTGACAACCGCAGTTAGGCTTTGGAGATGTTTTAAAAGGAGACGTTGCTGCCAATCCCTTGCTCTCTCTTAGTCGCCTTTTATGACACCCACTGAAAAGGAAAGAGTGGCCTATTTTATGTCGGGAGTCCGCGAGACATAGATAGAGTACTTCTCACATGCTTAAAAAGGCATGACAGATATGTATGTATGTATTATGTCGAATATATAATTTAGTAATGTAAAATTTGTTATTGACTAATAATTGACATGTCAAACATTTTCTATACACTAGCCTGCTATGAATTGAGAAAAAAAGCAACTGATGGTGTATCTTTCTTCCTCTTTTTACTAATTATATTTGCATAAAAAGAACGGAGATAACCATATGATTTACAGTTTTTATTTTATCATTCCTTCTATATAATTCCTTGTTCTTAGATAATTATAGATAGTCTATCTAATCTGTGATATAATTTAGTCTGTAGACAGAATGCTTACTTTTTTTTTAATATCCAGTGCAAATCTATTCGCGATATCCACGCTTTTTTATTGTTACGATAATGTAGAACTTTACTTTATTAATCGCCCATTTTAGTGTTTATAGTTTCAATTATAACATATGAGTACTGTTTGTGAGTAATCCTTACAAAATGGTTTCCGGAAATACAAGAGTGATACAAGTAACCAATATCGCGCCGCAAGCGACGAAGGATCAGATGCAAACCCTCTTTGGTTATTTAGGTAAAATAGACGACATAAGACTTTATCCAACTATTAGAGACGTATCTTGTCCCGTACAATCGCGAATATGTTATGTAAAATACTACGATTCTGCAACAGTAAATGTTGCACAGCATATGACCAATACTGTATTCATAGATAGAGCATTGATTGTAATCCCGATGCAGTCAGGAGAGATACCAGATGAACATAAGGCTCTAGAGATGTCAAGCAATGGTACCCTAGTACCCGGCCTGAGCAGCGTGGAACCGCGTCTCCCAGCACATGTTATCAATGCTTTAGAGGGTGTACCACCTAACCAGGTTATTCAAACTCATGATCCTAAAATGGTAGCGGCAGGATTACCGCCGTACCCACCACTTCCAGCTGCTTATGACTCAAGGAAAATTGAAGAGATTAGAAGAACACTGTTAGTTGGTGAATTAGGCAACTTGACCCATCAACATTTGATAGACCACTTCTGCCAAGCTGGGGAAGTGAAGTACTTGCGATTCTGTGAACGAGATGCTGACAAGCTTAAATATGCTTTAGTAGAGATGTCAGAGCAAGAAAGTGTGATTAAGGCCCTGCAACTGAATGGCTCTACTGTGGATGGTCAAACTATTAAGGTCAGATTATTTATAAAGGTTATTTTATAAATGTCACAACTAAAATCTACACCAAGTTTATGAGTAACAATAATAAACAATTCTAGTACTATTATTGAATTTTATTATAATTTATTATATAGTATTAGCTTAACTATGACGCTAATATAAACTATGTTTTCTAAGGAATAAAAGCTATAGATATAGCTTAATCCTTTCATTGTATGAAATCACAAGCAGTATAATCATATTTATAAAAAATCCTTTTTATGTTATCAAATAATCAAGTCATGTGATACAAATACAACCAGTTTATCATGCATGTAAAATTTACTAGAGATTCACTGCAGCACTTTCTGAAATAATTTGCATAAAATGTGTTAACAATTCACAGAAAAAAGAAGTGCATATTATTTACATTTTCTTCATCATCATCATCATATCTGTCTTTAACTGTCCACTGCTAAACATAAGTCTCGCCCTTGGGGGGGTTGCTAATAATTGTCATCCTTAGTGGGTAGGTTGGCCTTTGGAAATGTTTTAACAGGGAAGCTGTAGACCATTCCTCAACCATAATCACGGGAAAGAAAGAGGTGGCCCATTCTATGTCTGGACTGACACGGTAATTTACATTTTGCATATTAATTTTTAGGTTCATCATGCAACTCAGGCTATTTCTAAACCACAAACAAAGAGCAATGAAGCAGCACAGCGAGAAATTGAGGAAGCAATGTGCCGTGTAAAGGAAGCCCAGAACCTTATTTCTGCTGCTATAGATCCTGTTATTGGTCTGCTTTCTAAAGACAAACGAAGGTATATAATTTTTTTATGAAACTGGAAATGTCAAAGGATAGGAGGGCCATCAGCTTGGATGACCCTCCTGTTCGAAAGTGGTTAGTCTTATAAATTACATTATAAATATTACAGAACACTCTGTTCATGATGACTTTCATGTGTTACTATTTCTAATTATTATGTCATGTTCAATACACTGTAATTTCACTACCACCTCTCAAACCAACACAGCCTTGCGAGTACAAGTTCTCAGTGGTAGAATTATGAATGAAACAGGTACTCATACACATGATGTTTGTATCGAGTCTCCTTTTGTAAATGTAACCAATCTTGTTTAATCTTAGTGACAGATTGGCTCTCCTCTTTTCAATCCTCCTTAACAATTCATTTTTAATCCTTACTGTACAAAATATTAACACTATATTGTTTCCTGGTTTACATTATTTTATCTACTTTTCTGATAATCACATGCTAGACAAAAGAAATTATTTCATTTATATGATAGATTTCTTTTAGGAAGTTTACAATAAACAGAGGGCCTATCATGAAATGTTTTCTGAAATCTCAGGGCCAAAGGAAACACAAATTTCATGTTAAAATTACATAATACATACTGTTTAAAAATATTATTCATTTGGACTTTTATGGTAGCATTAAAGCTGAATGAAATGTTAATCTATATTTATTGGACCAATTTCGGTATAAACAAAAATTTGTAATAGGCCCTGGTTTTTGTCTGTGTGTCTTGTCTGTATATTGTAAAGTCAGGTTAGCTAATTAAAGTATTATATTGTATAATAATGGATAAGAACTTGATAATAACTTAGTAGATTATGTACAACTACACCAGTAGTTGTAGTGCTAAATAACTTGCCATTTATTTGATGGAAAGTAAACTATGGTTTAAGTACAGTTTTTGTTTTATTTGATTGTGTGAAATATATATGAGTTATATGAATGTTTTAGAACACGTTCCCGGTCGCGGTCGCGTCGCCGGTCACGGTCGCGTTCGCGCCGATCCCGTTCGCGACACCGCAGCAAGCGCTCCCGATCTCGTTCCCGACACAGATCTCGGCGCTCGCGATCTCGCCATAGACACCGTACCAGGTAATTAAAAAAACTCTTTTAATCGCAAAAAGTATAAGGATATATCTAGTTTTTTTTTTCTCAAAAATGTATAATAATAATATAATAATAACGATTCGTACATATTTTTGTGGTAAAATCGGGAAAGCGTAAAATTAATTAAACTGTTTTTTTACCATAGACAAAAGAAGTCCATTGTTACCATGGCCTGTCTTCTTATTTCAAATTACCATTCTTATTTACTATATAATAAATTTATTGTAATTTTATTTTATTTTTATTGAATATGACAAATCATTATTTGTAAAATACCATAGTTATGGAAAACTAAATTTACTTAATGCGATATTTTACAGGTCGCGTTCGCGTCATCGTAGTTCTCGCCGCTCACGTTCCAGGTCTCGTCACCGTAGTACTCGTTCCAAGCGAGATCGCTCACGTGATAAAGATCGCGATCGCAAGGACAAGAAAGACTCCAACGATAAAGAGAAAAAAGAGAAATCCAAGTCACCTGCCAAAGAAATTGAAAAGGAAGAAAAGGAGGAAGTTAAAACCGAAACTTCTGAAACCAATGGACATGGTTCTGAAGAAAAATCAAAGGCATCTACTCCAGCAGATGATAAAGAAAAGGAAACTGAAAAAGAAAAAGAAAGATCACCTTCTAAAAAACGGGACAGGTCGCGGTCTCGTGAGAAGAAACGTGATCGTTCTCGTTCTAGAAGGTCAAGATCCAGATCGCGTAGAAAACGCTCACGGTCGCGCAGAAGGACTCGATCTCGTGATAGAAAGAGGTCCCGGTCCAGAGATCGTAAAAGGTCAAGATCTAGAGACAGAAAGAGGTCACGCTCGCGGGACCGAAAGAGATCCAGATCCAGAGATAGAAAACGCTCAAGGTCGCGCGATAGAAAGCGATCGCGTTCAAGAGATAGAAAACGGTCTCGTTCCAGGAGCCGTCGATCTAAGAGCCGATCACATAGAGACTCCAAAACTCCTCATGATCGCCGAACCAGAGACAAAAGCCCTAATCTCCCAACCGTAGAGGAAAAAGATACTTCGGTGGTAGAAAATAAAGCTCCTGATATAGGCGAAGAAAAGAATTCACCAGATAATATGGATATCTCTAACTCTCCATAAATTTTGACATTACCTTACATTATGGATATTATTCACGGTTTCTTTTTTATTTAGGAGTCATACTAAGAAATGTGTTAGACTTTCTTTATTAATAAATGATATGACTTAATTGTTACTTTTATTTTACAGCTCAATAGCATACCGTATCAGCTGTTAACTGTCTACTGATGAATATAGGCCTCACCCATAAAGGGGGTGGTTTTGGCCAATAGTTACCACCCCCAGGTGGCAGGTTGGCAACCGCAGTTAGGCTTTGGTGATGTTTTTTTGTTTTAAACTGCTCTATGGTCACGGTATGAATTGGACTACCCCTTTCGCTATATTGTAAGAGGCGCCTAAAGGAATTTAATGATCAAAGGATTACTATTTTCTATCAGGTGGGCCGTCAGCTTGACTGTTATTCTACATAATAAAAGGAACTTACAAGGAAGTTAACTTACATAATAAAAGCAAGTAAAAATCTTAATGAAAAATAATACAAAAAACTACATTGTTTTATATTATTGTATTTTGAGCTTTAGTTACAATATACGTATATTTTACAGACAGTATATAACATATATATGTATATAATAAATAATTTTTTTATAAACACATTTTATGGTCAAAATATTATATAGTCACAGGGAATTATTAACCGCTCTCCATAGTCGCATTCCAACATCTATTCTTATATTTACATCTGATTCAGTTTATATTCAAATAAGATCACTCGTAAGGTCGGATAGATTCCATAGTATTTCAATATGGTAGTATATCGTGCATAGCGTAACGCCAGGTCCACTGCCGCGCAAGAGCTTCAAACCGTGGTCGGTTACGTACGTACATCTCGCCAACTTCTGGTTCCATGCATACCTATCGAACAATGTATGTAATTTGAAAATTCTGAAATTCAATCATAGCTAATATTAGGTGCCGAGGGGAAAGGGATTGTTAGTATTGGGGATCTAACAACCCCATAGTTAGCAATATACCTTATCAGGTCGTACCTTGATTAATTAATAATTAATTTTAACTTGATTAAATAATAATTAACTGACCTGTTTCATTCCCATCTATCATCCCTCACTAGTACCCCACCAGAGTATATCGAAAGCGTGGACGAGGCTACCATTCCATTAAAAAAAATATTTGGTGCTACTTATTGATCTGCTTGTATGAAAGTATAAATTCACAAATCCTCTGTGAAAAGTATGAATATGATTAAAACTAATTATAGAAACACGATACCTGAAAAATTAGTTTCATTTACATTAATAGACTAGACTAAGAGTAGACTTTTACGAAATCATGTCACAAATAAAATTACCATCCTATTGTCAGGAAAGGGTCTCTGGCACCTAAGGAAGTTGATGCCCTCCCTCCTCAGAGAATGGAAGAAAGAAATATATAATTATATAACTCACAGCAGTATATGGGTCGGTGAGTAGGCTCTGTATAGAGATGAGCACCTTGCTGACAGTAAGAGCTAGTGACCAGTTGTGGTGTACGGAGTCGATACCGACGTCACCGTGCCGCGACACATTCGGATGCAGCACGCGCGTCAGGAACCGCACCACCGGCGGGCTCATTGGGTACCTGGACCACGCGGAAGGAAGAAGGCGGTAACACACACGTCATTGTTAAGTCACATCTATTACATATTCTATCTACAACGGGATATTTACAGTATTGAAAACAAAGACTACTATCTTCTTAATTTATAAAAAATTCACTTACGCAAATTTTGAAACCGCTTATCCATTTTTAATAAAGTTTCGTAAATGTGCATTGGTGTCTTTCAACTTGAAAAATAGAATACTTTTATCTCACAAAAAATAATGGATCAGGTAGGAGGCAAAACAATGTCTGTCAAGTCAGCTAGTGTGACTTTAAAAAATAAATAATTATTAAATCTTCTATACTTATAATAAATCTGTAGAGGTCAATTCTGTACATGAAATATATTTCCAAAATAACTATCAGGGAGTGATTAGTGATCGATACTGATGCCAAAAATGCAATCAGTAAAATTTTTGTCTGTCTGTCTGTATGTTCGTTATAGAAACAAAAACTACCTGATGGATTTTAACGAAACTTGGTACAATTATTCTTTACGAAGAATAATTGTACGTACTCCTGGGCAGGTTATAGTATACTTTTCATCACGAAAACGGGAGAAGTTACTCCATTTTTAAGCTTCAGTCGCATGTGCAGCCTTAATGGCCACTTTTTAAAATGTAAAAATGTCCACCCGCGCGACGTCGGGACGGGCCGCTAGTTAATTAATAAATTTATTAATTTTGTAGTTGTAGGCACACTTACGAATAGGGTACTTGAATATATAAATAGAAGACTCCTCCTTCATAAGGAGATCCCACAGGTCCCGTGACGCTGGCCTGCCAGTGACAGCATTTTGGGTCCAGAGGTGTTGCTGCTATACCTTCTGGGGGATCATTTCTTAACATCTATGAAATTATAAATTTATAAACATTGATGTTGAGTTTCTTACTAATGTTAATTTATTGCAAGTAACAATAAAAAATAGCATATATATGTCCACAGATATGGTTAAAAATAACGACTGTTTTCATTAGTGTATATTATATAATGACACTGATGTTCTTTTCCACTTTGGGTTTGTAGTAAGAGAACTTTAGCAGAGTTCAACTCACCCTTGTACATTTGCTTATTTTCTTTCCTTTGTCATATATCTTGATGTATTTATTAGTATGTATAATGAAGTATAAATAAATACATTAAAATATAAGACAAAAAATTCGTTATATATACAGACATATTATTTACAGCAAGTTATATAAGTCAAATATGTTTCTAAATCACCTTAAGTTCGTTACGAAGCCTGTTCCTCCGCCATGCATTCTCTTCGCCAGCAGGTTGTGCTTGTACACACATTTGCACAAGACAATTACGACAGAAACATGATTCCACCAGTGATTGGTATTTCTGAAACAAGAACAATAGATCTGAGCTTCGTGTAATATGATTCAGTTAAGTTGCTTACAACATTGGATTTTTAGGGCAGATTTTTTTTTATTATGCGACTTAGAATGGCAAACAAGCTGACGACCCACCTGATGGAAAGTGGTACGTCGCCTATAGACGTGAACCATGTAAGTACCATGGACATAACAAAGTATACTGTTTCACCCATGATACCCCCATGCATTGCCATTCCTGAGGGCTCAGGTGTTATTCCCCTGCACCCTGTAAATTCACTGCCATATCCCATCCCCCAAACTGAAACACAGCCATGCAAACACAACTGGTACTTTCACGGTAGAAAACTTTTCTCTCTGGCAACACTGCCGATAACAGTCTTTGTCAGTTGGCTCTTATTTATTTATTGTTTTTAATTTATTACTTGTGAAATAACGATACTAGTGTATATAATCAGTGAGTTTTGGTCATAAGTAACGTCGATTGTTGTTGGTGTGTAAATCTGTGATTTCTTTGTGACAGAAATCTACGTTACAAAATTTGTGGGACCGCCAACTGTCAAAGTATTGGTAATTTACAATAGAAGTCTTGGATTTCTATTGACTCCTTTAATAATTAAATACAGTTATTACACTTCACTATTACTATATCCATTTACAAATAAACAATAATATTAAAGTCAAATATTCGATAGTGAAGATCGGTTGTTGTTGTTGAGAGGAAAAAAAAAAAATACTACCCACTAACATAAAATATTATTGCAATAATTACAGCTCATAAAATTTATTTATTATCATATTGATAATATATTCCAAATAGCTGTACGAAACTAAACTTATGTATTTTATTAAATAACAATACAATATTAGTAATCCATAGCCATTGCTAGATATCATATGACAAATTAAGACATATTTACTGTAGTGGTAATATATAAGATTAATTATTTTTTTTTGTAACAGTATTGGTATTTAAAGTTTTTACTAACAATATTTATTTATTTATTTATTATTAAATTATTTATTGTATTATTTTATTGAAGGGAAATAGCGCACTTTCAACACTGTATTTCTTCTATTGAATAATATTCATTGTTGTCTTGTTTCATAGATATTTAACATAATAATTAAAAATGATGTCCCGCAGAGCATGTGATCTTGATGCTAAGCTCAAGGTGACACTCTTAGAGTTAAAAAAATCCAATGAATTAAATAAGGCCTTATTACAGGAACGAGATGAAAGTGAGATTGAAATTAAGTTGATGTCTGATAAATATGTGGCTCTGAAGAATGACCTAGTGAAGATCAGTACAGACTTTGAAGTTCTACATATCGAAAAAGAAAAACTTCAAGAAATTGTAAATAAATATGATCTGTGCAGAGACACATATGAGTCAGCATTGCAGAAAATCACTCATCTAGAGCGGCACCTTGAGGAAGTTCAATCACAAAATAAATCTTTGTTGGATCACAGGCGGTTGAGTAGTTATAACGAGACCATGGATCTGTATACAGAAATGTTAAATACTACTAGTGATCAAACATCTGCTCTGCCCCTTGTGACCATAGATTTGACAAATACACCAAGCTCCTATAGTTCTAATAAAGTACCTATTAATAGTAGTAAGAAGTTAAAAAAATATGTAAAATTAAATAAATTTATTCGAAAATCAGAAAATTTAGTGAAAAGTCATAAAAAGTGTTTAAAATCAATTATTACTAGGAAGCAAAAAATTGACTTATCAATAGAATTAAATAATTGTAAAGAAAAAATATATAACAAAGATTTAGAAATAGATGAATTATCACAAAAAATTAAACTATTAGAGAACTCGTTGTCCAATTTATCTTTGAAATACGAATCAGCTGAGAATGAAATACATGAATATTCTGATCAGTTGGATAATTTAATAAAATTGGGTAACTACAACATGGAGCGGTTTGTTTCTCTTACGGATAGATGTCACTGTAATTCACCAGAGTCTGATAACTATATCCAACCGTCCCACCATAATCAGTTGAACATTGATATCTCATCCGTCACGGAGCCAGACGTTTCATGTTTACCCACACGAAACAGTACAAAAGTAAATAAATGCAGCACTGTACATGAAACCATCAGGAGAACAATTGTTTATTCAGATGAATTTGGCAAGGATTTAGGTAGTTTATTATCGAACTGCCTCTCGCAACAAGTAATAAATAATTGTTTTCCGGGATCAGGTATATATAAGATTATAAAAAATATAGTAAATGAAAAATATGATATTCACACGACCCTAGTAATAGCGTTAGGGAATTGTTTGCATATGCGCAAATCTGATATAGTTAATTTAATAAAATCATTATATAATATAGTGGAGCTTGGTATAGGTAAAATATTATTATGCGCATTTCCCTACTCTCAATCCCTGACTAATGAACAGAATAAGTTCATTTATAGTATAAATAATTTAATTTATTCGATGACATATCATTGTAATGATATATTTTATTTTGAAAGTAACAAATTTGTTACAAATTATTATATGACGGGAGGTAATTTTTATCTTCCTAAAAAACAAAAAAAGACTATTGCTAGTTTACTAGCGTATAACATTTATGATCCCATTATAAGTAGTATAACGGGTTTAATTAGTAATATTAGTAATTATACTAATAATGTGACATGTGTTAATTTAAACTAACATCTACGACATTGGTTAAGCCACAGGATATGGTCATTATTCATCAAAATATTCGTGGCTTCTCCAGCAAAGAATTAGAATTAAGTCTTTTCTTAGAATCTAACAATGTACAGGTGTTATGTCTGACAGAACATTGGCTTAAACAATATGAAATAATTTGTCCTTTTGAACATTATAATATAGCTAGTTTTTTTGCTAGGAACAATGCCATTCATGGCGGGTCAATTATTATTTTAAAAAATGATGTAGAATATAAAAACCGTCAAGACATTGTAAATATTTCTATTGAGCAAACAATTGAACTATCTTGCGTAGAATTAGTTACTTGTATAATAATTTGCGTTTATCGTCCGCCATCGGCTTGTTTTGATTCTTTTGAACTGGCTATGGAGGAAGCATTGAGACGAGTCGCACGGAGGAATAAAACATTATTTGTATGTGGCGATTTTAATGTTGATTTATTATCGGAATGCTCAATAAGCTTAAGATTGATTAACTTATTTAAATCATTTAATTTGCACAATCTTTTTTTAGAACCCACTAGGGTCGCAGGAAATTCTGCCACTTGTATAGATAATGTTTTTTGTAATTGTGAAGTAAAGGTGAAAATGAATTTCGACTGTCTTGGATCTGATCATTACGGACAAAAAGTTATAATTGAAACTAAGGGATCCAAAGGGACTCAAACAATTACATGCAGACAAATAACACAAAAGAATTTGGCACGTTTTAAAAATAAAATTGAACATAAAATATCTAGTGTCATAGTACCTCAATATGACCCGGACATTGTATGTGAACATATTTTAATTTAATTGAACATGAAGCTAGCAGTGAATTTAAAACAAAAACATTTTCAACTAGTGTAAAATCAAAGTTTTGTGAATGGGCCACGTTTGGTATTTATAAGTCTAGGGCTAATCTTTACGAACTTTACGAAAAACGAAGCTATATATCCGATCCCTTATTTCATGAACATGTAAAATCTTATTCGAAAATATTTAAAAAGGTTTGTCATACAGCTAAGTCTCTCTATTTAGGTAAAATAATAACTAAATCTAAAGATAAAATAAAAGCCACTTGGAAAGTAATAAATAGCGAAACTGGAAAAGTTAATTTTCAAAATAGCAAAATAGCTTTAAATATTAATAACAAATTGGTAAATTCCGACACAGAGGTCGCGCATACATTCGAATCTTATTTTACTAATATTCCATTAATTACGACACAGGCTCTAAAATCTTCCCCGTCTGCTGCTGAAACTTTACTAACAGACAATGTTAGCAAGTCATCAGCTGTATTTAACTTTAGACATACATCATCAGTAGAAATAATGAAAATATTCAAACAACTTAATAATAAAAAAACAGAGGATCTATGGGGTATATCTGTTAAAATACTGGATAGTATAATGGAAATTATTGCGCCCTCTCTTGCTTTTATTTTCAATAAATGTATAGATGAAGGTAAATTTCCTAACATAATGAAAATTAGTAAAATCATACCGCTTTTTAAATCTGGAGATAGGAGTGACCCAATAAATTATAGACCTATATCCATACTCCCAGCACTCAGTAAAATTTTTGAAAAAATAATCCTTATGCAACTTGTCAGTTATTTCAATTTAAATAATTTAATCCACAATAGTCAATTCGGTTTTTCCAAAGGTCGTTCAACTACAGACGCAGGTGCAGAGTTGCTTAGACACGTATTTGCTGCATGGGAAACTAAAATGGATGTGATAGGTGTTTTTTGTGACCTTTCTAAGGCTTTTGATTGCGTTGATCATAATACATTGCTAAAAAAACTTGCTTTTTATGGCGTCAAAGACAATGCTTTAAATTTAATAAAATCTTATCTATCTGATAGAATACAGAAAGTGAAGATTAGCAACGCTACGTCTGACGGGTCACTTGTGCAAATGGGTGTACCTCAAGGATCTATTCTCGGTCCATTTTTATTCCTAGTTTACATTAATGATCTCCCATATGCCATGCAGGATAGATGCGGCATAGTATTGTTTGCAGACGATACTTCATTGATTTTTAAAGTTAATAGAATGACTAATAATTATGACGATGTAAATAGTGCTTTGCGGCGTCTCCTGCACTGGTTTACAACTAACAATCTTATGTTAAACGCTAAAAAAACAAAATGTGTTAATTTCTCTCTATCTAAAAGTTTTAATACTAATTGCAATATTAAATTAAATGACGAATCTCTCGAATTTATAGAATCTACTGTCTTTCTAGGAATCACACTAGATAATAAAACACAATGGGGTGCACAAATTCAAAGCCTTGCAGCGAAACTAAGTTCAGCAGCTTTTGCCGTGCGTAAAGTTAGACAGTACACTGATACTGATACTGCTAGATTAGTCTATTTTAGTTATTTTCATAGTTTACTCTCTTATGGAATATTACTATGGGGAAAAGCGGCAGATATTAAGAATATATTCATATTACAAAAACGTGCCGTTCGAGCGATCTACTGTATGAAGAGTCGTGACTCATTAAGAGAGAAATTCAAAGAGGCAAATATTCTCACCGTTGCTTCTCAATTTATATATTCAAATATTCTATATGTTCATAAAAATCTTGACTTATTTCCAAAAAACAGCAATATTCATAATATTAATACTAGATTTAAAGACAAACTTGCTGTCCCCAAGTATCGTTTAGAAAAAGTTAATAGGTCTTTTATGGGAATAGGTATAAAAATTTACAATAAGATACCAAAGGATATGTTGGAATTACCCTTAAATAAATTCAAAACATCTGTTAAATCATATTTACTGAGCAAAGCCTATTACTCACTAAACGATTACTTGAATGACGAGTGTGCATGGCAATAGTTGTTCATGCACTGAATTTTCATTTAATGTTAGACATAGACACCTATATAAATATACATTGTAAATAAACTGGCTTTAAAAAAAAAAGTAATTCAATTGAGTTTCTTGCCAGTTCTTCTCAATTGGATCTATATACCGAACTGGACGGTAGGGTAAATATAAAATTATAATGTAAAAATTTGACGTTCATAAGCGGCTAAAATGTCCTACATGAATAAATGATTTTTGAATTTGAATTTGAATTTGAATAGGAAAAAGGTACTCAAGCAAATGCCTTTAAATTATATTTTAAATTTAATTACACAAATACATTAAAATTTGATAGAAAAGTTTTTTTTTTTAATGAATGATAATGGCGAACGCTGGCGAGGCACCAGTGGGGAATGATAGGTGAAAATAAAAGGCAGGTCAGTTAGCTCATCGTGATATATACATCTTAAATTCAGCATGATGGTTTCCAGGGTGACCGTGTGAAGGTCGTCCTGACAGACTATATTGGTAGCAATGGGACTGGTAGTCCACATTAATAACAATTCCCCCTCCCTCACCTAGGTAAATTGATTCAATGTCCTATTATATTACTAGCCTTGTCTGCAACTAGAACACGTTGAATCAGGATTTATGAAACAGGCCTCTTTTTAATGGCATCACAACATAAAACACATTAGATTTTAAGTTAGCCCTTCTGGAAGACAATTGTGAAAACCAATCAGCAGCTAGCACATGGTAATGTATATATATACCGTGTGTGTATATACATACCTTGTGCCAGTCTTGGTTGGCGAGCAGCGGCCGGAACAGCGGCCAGCGCGCGGCGGCGAAGCGTGCCCAGCGCGGCGGCGGCACGCGCGCGCGCACCAGCCGCCACCAGCGCGCGCACACGCACGCGCACGCGCACAGCGACATGTCGTCCAGGTAACTGAAGATGCACAGCAGCACTGCAATATCATACAACCACTTTTAATGCAACTTGCAATCTTTATGATAGCATTTCAAAAACAATGTCAAGAATAGGTTTTTATTATTGATACACTAAACATGGTTTTTGTCCTTATAATTAAATTGTGTTCCATAAAAAAGAAATTTAAGTTTCAATTTTAAATTTTTAAATAAAAAATAATTTTCGTAATAGGTTTACAACTGTCAGAGTTATTAGATAACAAACTTAAAAAAAAAATCAAATTTTTAACCATTAAAACCAAAATGAGAATCTCATTTGTTTTAAGTTGTTTAAAAATTAATTGGACCTTATAAAAAGAAAATAGGTAAATGTAACAAGTAATCAGTCACAGAAATTATCTAAAAAAGCAAAGATTGAAATTGAATTATGACAAAATGTCTTATCATTATATTAGTATGTATTTATTGTATATGTATATAACTTTCAGAAATTCAATATTAACCTTCAGAAGGTAGTTGTTCAACTAGCCCCGGAGCGAGGTTGTCAGGTGGTCGTGGTGTAGATAGAGCCTGCAGTGATCGTGCCAAGCTGGGGGGTTGCGGTGGGGGGCCCTGTCCAGCAGTGTTTTCACCTCCATCGGCGATATGCCGCGTGCTACCGCTACCGCTGGCAGAACCACTACCACCACTTCCACTGCCACTTGCACCCTGACCACTTGCTCGACTAGTCTCATCTTCAGGACTAGTCTCACTATCTAATGAGTTCTAAGAAATCGTTTTGAATTTATATATTTTATATTATACATATAATTATAGAGTAGTGATTTAATTATTTATTTACACTTTATAGGATCATTTAAAAATAATAAGTGGAGTAAATTTTAATGAGAAGTATATAAAATGGACATTGAGAAATATACAAGTACATATATATACACAAACATATATATATACAAACATAAATATATACATACTTTATAGCAGACAAACACAACAGGAGAGTATGATGGAGGAAGATGAAGCAAGAACACAGGAAAATAGTACTAAAGGGAGAGACAGTACAATTAAACAGAGGTTTTGAAGCTAGTGAAAATTTGAGTGCTAGTGAGAATACAGGCAGGTAGTGAGTTCCACTGGTGAACTACCTAGACAGTAAAGTATTTAGAATAAAAGGAAGAAGAATGAACAGGAAATTTGAGGTGCAGATTGTAGCACTGCACAAAGTATGGTCATCAAAGATTTAGTTGATGTTATTGAATCAAATCTATTTGATTTAATATCACCAAATATTCTAAAAATAAGTTCTTATTTATAATTATTAACATATTTTAAACTATGCCTAGCTGATAATATACATAGCCTATGGAAGACTGTAACACTAGGTACCTGTAATCTATAATGCCATTACTCAATAAATATTAGTTTCAAATTATTTAAATTTTAATGCTTTAGTATTATAAGTCTAAGCATAAATATAAATAGTGTATTATAATTCAAATAATATTAGTAAATATCATAGTTGGTACAAATGACTATCATATGTGTACTTACTCTGTAATTCCACCATGCAGGAAGTGGACAAGTTCTATTGATTCTTCTATCTGAACTGTAGTTTAAATCAGATGGTTCATCATTCCCAGAGTCACCGTCATCAGTCTTCTCACTATAGAAGTATGAAGTTGGAAGATATGATGGAAAATCAGGAAACAAAAATGAATGACAAGTTACGCACACCGGTTCCCCGAAACTAGGGCCATAGTAACCGTTGCAAACGTAGCATGTAGAATTCTGAAAGATAAAACACATTTTTTATATAACCTTTTAGACTAAACTATTAAATAAGTTAAAACATACATACATTGAATTCGAATTCAAGCAGAGGTTCTATTGGTGTTCCAGTTGTAAGTTTGTCACCATTGTCTTCAAGTTTTTTGATATAATTTAAAAATTCGGGACTGACTGCAGACATAATTAGAATAATACTCCACCTGCTTGAGTAAAAAGCATCAAAGTTTAGAAGCCAATTATTTAAAATTTATGATAATAATAAACATTCAATGAAATTGAATTATTTATTTATTTTTGTCATAAAAATTATTGACAAGTTTCAATTCTGCTGTAAGGCTGGTGTTGACATTGACAGTTGACATGACAATATACAATTTAAATATAATGAACTCTTTTTATTATAAATCTTTGAAGAATGAAGCAAATTAGGAAATATCCCGAAGATGACATTAAGTTAACTTAAATTAAATAGGGAAAGAAATCCGATACGAAAACCTTAAAACATCTAGATGGCGCCATCATACTACAATGTCTCTCTCTCTTTCTCTCTCCTGAACGTACAACCATAGATAAAATAAAATAGACAAATTGTTAGTGTTTTTTTTTTAATTGTCAAAGTACTGTTGGTTTGCTTGGATTGTCAAATCATTTGTCAAACGTTTGTTTAGCGTATATTTTCTAAATATTCTTGCAAAACAAATCTCAAAATATCATAATTAAAATAAGATGATAATGAAATTTATATAAAAGATAAAGAATTTGAGTGTGTGAAAGTGAACAGTGCCAATCATATTTTGCAAGTAGGTCATTTGCTTTGCAGATTTTGGTTACCGGTACGTCGGTCAGATATGTAACAGTAACGGCTTCGTATCTATTAAAATTATTTTGTATATAATGATAATAACGAAAAGACGTTTTCTTCAGGTTAACTAGTGTTTCCATTTACAAAGTGCTGAAATTGATGATCGCCCGTGTAAGTGGACATGGCAGAAAATGACGACTATTTAGATTCGCTTGATAATAATCACATAGACGGCACCAACGGTTCCCTTAACATGACGGACAACAGCCTCGGAGTAAGTAATTATTTTTTTAATGAATTATTAAATTACTATAAAATAAATATTTTTAAATGGGTAGTTTTCATACTTCTTTTTTAATCTAGTTAATTACCACAATATTTTTAGAATTGAAGTAATAAACAGTCTTTATTTATTATTATATTGCGTATTACAGTTTCATAGCATTAATTTTATGTTTTCGTGTGCTTTTACATCAGAGATTATTATTTTTTATTATTATTTTTTTTTGTTGTGTATATTTTGTCTGGTCCCTTCCTTAGATTAGGCAGAAGATCTAAATGTTTCGTTTTTCTCCTTAACTCATTCGTTGATAGCATGGTTATATGTTTTTTCTGGCATTCATATAACATTCATAAATACCATTCTTACTATAATGGTTTTCTAGAAAATAAGCTTGTTAGTATTTATTTAATTAACTTTATTGACTAAATTATAATATGGTGCAAAGGTGGATAAAATACTTATCGACCAGTCAACCTTTATGAATAGTGAAATATCTAGTGAAGATTCAAGAAGCATGACACCTTAAATCTTGTAAGGGGTGCCAAATGCAAATTGAATTGTTAGTAATGCTGAATATTTGTCACAATGCTAGCAATAAACCCCAGTCAGGCCGACCTTCACATTGTTCCCCCAGAAATCATCATACTGCATTCTAGATGTATTCACTATGATGGCTTAACTGACCTGTCTTTTCATTCTCGTTTATCATCATTTACTAATGCCTCGCCAGCATACACAGGTAACACAGGCGAGGTCACCTTTCCTTTATCATCTATTAAAACCATATTCTGTGTTGTTTATACTGTATTTAAAATCTATAAATTCAATTTAATATATATTATTGGGATTGTGATTTTTTTTAACCAACATAAAAAAAGAATGAGGTTACCAATTTGATTGTAATTTTTTTGTTTGTTACCTCATAACTGTTATTTGTAAACCTATTTGGAAATTTCTTTTTTTTTTATCTAGAATGATATACTTACAGATTGGTCCCATAGAGATTTTTTAAAATCAATTAAAAATAATTGGTTTTACCACAATTGAAGTTTTTTTTTATGGAATACAATCTTATTTTGCATATTAAGAATTGCATAAGATGTATGTAAGTATGCAATGGCATATGTATACATATAATTAGACTGTAGAGGTCATATTATATGTCTTTCTGTACATAGAAAAAAAAAATGCTGAAAACTGAGTCTAGGGGATGAAATAGAATACCAATTTTATTTTTAAAATTTTTTGTTTCTCTGTGTGGGCAAATCTCAGAAACTGGGGGACCAATTTAAAAGAAATTTTGCATGGTGGTACCTTACATCCCTGGTCAACACTTTAAATGCTTTTAATCACAGAAAATTGAAGAGTTCCTGTGGGGTAGTTAAAAAATTATAGTAACTTATACAGTACATAACCTACTTAACTAAAGTCATTTTGACCTAAGCCAAAGAGTAAGAATGATATGTCATTTGTTAATTTTGGTTCAGTATTCCCAGATATAATAAATAGATAGGTATATACATTGATACATATTAAACATACAAACTTGTGAAAATTTCAACTTACTCAAAATATAGTATTGTGTTAAGTAATGTTTTTAAATGATTTATGTGCTTTGTATTATTTTTATATGTCTAGTTTGATAAATAACATTGATTCTAAAAAGAAAAAAAAAGAAATTATAATATAAAGGGATAATAGATAATATACAATATAGGTACAAAATCAAAATCTTACTTATATAAAAAAGACAATATCTATATATAGGAGATATTTTATAAGTGAATTTCAGGGGTCTTAATAAATGGCTTAATAAGAGCCTGCCTGCCATGTGTGGCAACTACTGGCAATAATATTTTATATTAATATATAAAAAATAAACATATTCATTTTATATACATATATTTATTTTATGTACAAATTATGTATACCCCACTAGAGGGAACCATAAAGAGTATCTATCTATCTATCTAGTATTATAAAATAAATATCCCCTATTTTCTCAACTAGTCCACTATTCATCTATTCCAAAAACAGAAAAAGTTAAAATTATTGGAGTGAGTATATATCCTGCTTTAAAACATTCACATTTAATTTCTTAAAGTAAAGGGAATCCCACTAAGAGGTATGTAGGAAGCAGTGTGGACATAATGATATATGTTGATGAGGCACCAGTGAAAGATAATAGATGAGAATGAAAAGGCAGTACGATGGTTTCCAAGGGGGGCCATGTGAAGGTCGATCTGGCAAGGTTCATTGCTAACGATGGGCCTGGCCCCTTCCCCCCAGTGTAGATATACACACCCCACATGTACAAAAAACACATGTAAAAATGCCGCGATGATCTTACAGTAGAGCCTAGGTCTGCCATGTAAAGTTTATGGTAGTACCATGATAGTGCACAACCACATTATTATCTTAGAGAATGCTTAAAATGTCTCCATATAAATGCATACATTTTGCTCCCTCATTGAATCGTGACAGTAAAATCATACTATATTGTTCCATGGAAAAATATGAAAACATCCATTAAGGACTGTTAATGATAATTACTAATTTTGTTAGTATGTAAATTAACAATTTTATTTATCATTAAATAATATCTCATTAAAAACAGAACAATAGACAAAATTCCCCATTAGGGGAAGGCTATGGTCATCAGTGGATAATTAACGTAGTAATATCTCATTAGTGTTCTTTTAATGAACTTCTCTGAATATGGCATTTAGAATTAGAAGTAATTTGTAGGCCTAACTTATAGATAACGAAAAGTGTTTCCTATTTAGTTTAATACTTTGTCTTAGGGTGGTGATGAGGCTGCAGGTGCTGAAGTACCGGACCTAGCAGCTATCAAAGCTAGGGTACGAGAAATGGAGGAAGAGGCGGAGAAACTCAAACAAATGCAAACTGAAGTTGACAAGCAAATGAGTATGGGTAGCCCACCTGGATTAAGTAAGACCATTGTATTTTTCTTATTTTTTCTATCTTTTATGTAAATTAATTAGAATAATAGGTATAAACATATCAATCAAATTATTATTATTCATTTTACCCTATTGCTAAAGAGGGTGATATTTAATTATGTATTTATTATATATAACATACAACTGCAACAGATTAATGTCATACAATGAATGTGATATCTTTGGATATGTGTTAATTGTAGAAGTGCTGTATACACTCTTATGACGATAGTACATAATTAATATGACAAAACTTTTGAAAATTTTTATTAAAAATATTTTATTTCCGAAAGCAGTCAGAGTTTGTTGTGGTACTTTTAATTCATAAATTTTAATAAAAGAGATATGCCAAGATTGTTTTTAAATGTTTCAACCGCCAAAGAAGAAATAAATTTTACATATAAAATATTGTAAATGGTTATTGGTTCATTTATTATAAGTTTGTTCATATATTAACAATTATTGCAGCAAGTCCACTAAATATGTCATTGGAGGAGAAGATAGAAGCTGATAACAGATCAGTTTATGTTGGGAATGTTGATTATGGGGCAACTGCAGAGGAACTAGAGCAACATTTCCATGGTTGTGGTTCCATCAACAGGTGAGTGCACACTTTAATTCCATTAATTTTATTCCAATCCATATTCAAAGCAAATATTGTTTTGGTCTGAAGGGTGAAATCAGTGCAAGCTCTAACACGAGGAATATCTTGTTCCTCTGGAGTGATAAAACACAAATTGAGTGGCATTGGAATCTATCTATAAACTTTCGTCAATGTCCGTTCTATAATATACGATATCAGTACAGCAGTTTGTAATATCAATAGTAATATCATCAGGTGAGTCATAAGTCATATACTGTTGCTAATGTGACTTAAGTCTTCATATAAATTGAAATAATTTTAGCGTTTATAACTGTGGTGTTATATATAATAAATATTTAATTGTACTACTAAGTTTTACAATCTTTGTTTGTTTTAGGGTTACAATATTATGCAATAAATTTGATGGCCATCCAAAAGGATTTGCATACATAGAATTTGGTGACAAAGACAGTGTACAGACTGCAATGGCAATGGATGATTCATTATTCAGGGGACGCCAGATAAAAGTATATATTATTTTTATTTTATTATTATTTGTCATTTTTGTGTTTATTTTAGTTTGCTCCCAACAAAAAACAAACAGTCTTTAGGCTTCCAGAGCCTATTGTATTGCAGAAAAACCTGACTGTTTTGAGATGTGGAAATATTAATTATAAAATTATTAGAGTCATCTTAATTATTAAATTATTATTAAATTAAATAGCGTGTTAACTTTAAAAAAAGAATTGTGAATATGATGTATTATATATACTGTTTACATTATTGATTTATTGTAGGTAATGCCAAAGCGTACAAACAAACCTGGGCTGTCGACGACAAACCGGCCGCCGCGAGCGATGCGAGGCCGCGGTCGCTCCTTCCGTGGTGGCTTCTCACCATACTATTCGGGCTACCGGCCCGTACGTCGTGGCAGGTACATACTTACTTATTATTTGATAATCTGTGTAACGCTAAATGCACTTCTACCTTATAACGTTTGCGCGACTGCTCCCCTAATCTTTTTTATACAACTTAGAATGGCAAACAAGCTGAAGGCCCATCTGATGGAAAGTGGTAACCATCGCCTATAAATATGAGCAGTAACATGGATATAACAGTATACTTCACTTCAGAAACTATTGCTTCACATCAGAAACACGAATGAAACAGAGGTGCCCAAGCAAACGACTTTTGTACAAAGTCTCCCTCTGGTAAATGCGCACGTATTTTTTTGTATTGTGTATCTGTATTAAACTGGGCGTTTTACTGTGTTATATGTATGATGTTTAAAAAAAATAAAGCTAACTAACTAACTAGATATTAATTGTTGGGCTTCTTCGACTAGATTGTGTCGTGTGGGTATTGATAAAATCATCATTTTAAGTGATATTTTCGAAAGGCCTAGTATGAGAGAAAGGGTCAAGAAATCACATCCGTAAGATTAAAATATTATTGTAGTACTTGAAATCTTTACATATCGATACAAGTAATTTTTAACTAATCCACAAATTTGTTAGATGTTATTTGAGCTACTTGTGACTTCTATCTCTGCCTTTTGTGCAACATGCTAGATCTCACGTACGTGTAGCCAACTTTAAATGACGTTTTATTTTAATCTACCTAAAATATTTTTTACCTACCACACATTTTTTAGTAATTTTACATTTTATTTATCATGTATGTAGGTAAAAATAATATTAAAAACTAACATTAGGTGATAGATAATGTGGGTATGGATATACTTATATAAAACAGTAGGTAAAAAGAAATCCTCATGATTTAAAAGTCATCATCATATCAGGCGTTAACTGTCCACTACTGAAGATAAACCTCCATAGCCTGCCTTTGCCATTGGGAGGTTTTGCCAGCAGTTTCTGCGCTTGGCAAGCTTAGGCTTTATTAATGTTTTAAGAGGGACACTGCTACCCATCCATTGCCTATTAAGATCTCTTAGTAACCTCTTATAACACCCATCGGAAAGGAAGGGTTTGCCTATTTTATTCCAGGATTTGAAAATGTATAAATACATTTCTCAGATATGTGCCCCCATATCTGTATGGTAGAAAACAATATGTCAGCCCTTTCTTTTATTATCAGAATATTGTACAAGGCATCGATGCAAAATAAAGTACAAAACACCAGTGGATAGAATACTCAAAGCTAAGCTACATATTAAACTATTTGGTAATTGTGGTAATAGTAAATTACGCATCCAGGAGTCACATAAATATGTTATTAAATTTAAAGTACTATAGAAAGAAGTATAGCCATGTGTGTGTTTGTGTATTACCCAAGTAAATTCCTATATTAATTCAACAATAGTAGTCAAAGCCCTGCTGTGTCGACCCCAAACAATTGGGAATGGCCTGAAGGACGCCGACGATGAGATGTATATAATATTTGCAGAGGTTACAGGCGCGGCATGTACTACTCTCCATACTGAGTGCGGTAGAGGGGCGCCCGTGCCCCGGCCGCGCGCTAATCGCGTAGAGCGGTGCCTGCGGTCAGCGAGTCAGCTCCGGCCCACTCCGACTGCCACAAGAATGTCTCGACGTCTCCGCGACTGGCGAGACACCCTTCGCTCTACTTTTAGACCTCTATAAATTAATATAGGTATCCCCAACTTGTTTGTTACAGACTTCGTGCACTAGAGACAACCTAGAGTTTGATTGAATGAATTTCATATTTTAATTTTTTATAATAATGAACTGTATGTTCTAAATATGTGCGTTTTTTTGTAAATGAAACGGTACAATAGGAAATTATTCACTCGTTATACTAAATTTGCATGGAAATTGTAGGTTCTGTTAATATTAACTGAATATGAACATTTGAGCATGTTAATACTTAATAAGGTATATTAAAAATTTAAATACCCAACAAAATATATTGATTTTTAATTCTGTAATATAGTAATAACTTGAGTCGTAAAAATTGTTGAAACATTTGAGTCTACAATACAAAGTTATAAAAGCAAATAAAAGATATTGTAAAATAGTGTAACTAGTTTCTAATGGATATGTTCTATGAAGTGTAGACAAGAGTTGTATTGGCGGAAAGGTAACAATTTAGACAATGATTATGACCAGGGTTACCAGATGCTATTTCTGATTTTTACCAAATTGTGGCATTTTTTTCTCCTAATCTATATGATTTCGTTAACTTTTAACCAATTAACAATTTTTGTTGATTTTCATTACGTTTTGCCACGAATTTACAAAGTGAGTGATGAATAATATCTGTCCCCCTTACTTCTTACCCTGTTTTTTTGCCTTACTGGTAGATATTTTGTTGTACTTATTGTATTTGTATGGTTCACAAGTATCAAAACTGTCAAAAAAATTACCCATTTTCCTCCAAGTATATTTCACTTTTCTTAAAAATTTTTTAAATTTCATTTCTCTAAAATTTTACAAACAAAATCGTTATTTACCGAAAATAGCTAAAAAAAAGCCTAATATGACAACGCTGATTATGACGACGACGACGCTAACTTTCGTGCCTTTAAACAAGTATAGGCGAGTTTTTACACAATGCAGTGTAGATTAAACTACCCATACGACACTGCCTCTTCGTAAACAGACATGACCTGCACAAGAATAGCACTACACCTAGTGCAAAGCTACCTACCCCACCTACATAAACGATATACATTGGAGTATTAATGATTATTTTGTAAGTGGACTTGACTCCTTAAAAAGGTGCGTATGTACTCACACGGTTCTTTGCAAGGCGTCTCTCGCATCCTGGGAGGACACTGGACAAGACCTGTGACAATATAATGCCTTGTGTGTCGGTTGAAACACTTCATTTGAACATATTCATATATAATGTCAAATAATAAAAACAGCTGTACAGATCTCTAAAGTAATGATAACTAGATCAAGTATAACATTTACTCTTGTAATAGTAGGTAAGTAATATTAACAGTTCTATTTCAGTTTGGTTGGTTCACTAAAAACAATCCAATCAAAATTTCCTTTGTATGCTGTTGCCCAATATGTAATGTATTTTTAATACTAGATGGTGTTATGGAGTAGTAAATTGAGGATATTTTGATAATATAGAGAGCAAATAGCTTGTACTCATGGCTTCACCCATTGGGTGTGAAAAGTATTATAAAACTTTAAATTATGTACCCATTCATATTCATCTGATCTAATCGCAATCATAAAGTTTTCATACCAAAGTCTGATAACATCTACGTTAACTGTCAATATTTAAAGCCATTTTCAATGTATTTTATTCTTATTTAAAAGTGCTTTTATGCTCGTAGTAAAGTAAAACATCTAATAAAATTATTTTTAAACTATCATCGACTTGAAAATATTAAAATTTGTACATTTTAAAATGTGAAATAGGTAGTTGTAAAATTTTTAATAAAAAATTTATGTGCTTTATTTATTAACTTTATTTATTACCTTGTTATATTGCAAATAAATATAAGATCATTGAAAATAGATAGATACCACAAACATTGGTAGACTTTGGTTTGAATCCATAGTTTAACGTTGAAACATACTTTTGGAAATGATAAGTGCTGTACATATACTTTATATGTAAAGAAATAAATGCAAATATTTTATTATATATCATGGATATATGTTATGTCCCTGGTACAAATTATATGCATTCATATTATGTTTAATACACTAGACTATAAGTAAGGGTGCACTATAATTCATATCTGGAACTACATGTGTGACTCATATATCATCATTTCATTTAAATTTATTACATACCTACCCTCATAAAGTTGGGCGACGATTTGTTTGATTCAATTTGTTTCAAAATCATAGTGATAACTTATCGTTGATAACTCTTTCACAGAATTTTATATTGCAATCGATAATGTCTAGGATGTACAATATAATGGATCTTGGCTGCAAATAGCAAATATTGTAGGTTTTACCACTTACCTACTTATAAGAGAGAAGGAAAACATTTTGCTCACTGAAATTAATAAGTATGATGTTTCCGTCTAAAATTTTGTAGCCCAGGTTTAATTAAGTACAACAATTGTGTCTTATATTTCCTGTTTAGTTTCTTTTACAAAAGAAAATGATTCAGTGTATATGTTATTTAAATGTCAAAAAAAAAAAGACTATAATATCGAGAGGGAAATAATAAAATGTGAAGGATTAAGATAATGTAAGAATAATTTTAAGAACAAGCAGTTGTTTTATTTTCAGAATCTCTTGCTTAAATCGGAATATCATTCTTTACTAATATTATAAAGAGGAAATATTTGGTTGTTGTTTTGTTTTTAAGGTATAAACTCAAAAACGACACGCCCGATTTTAAAAATTCACCTATAGGATTAGAAGGTTACGTTATTATTTAGTACACAAGTTAAACATTATTTTCGAAAATTCTATCTACAAGTGCGAACCGGCCTCGGATCACTACTATTCTAATATTGCTATAATTTTATATATTTGGCTATTGAATCATAATTAAAATAATGTTTCCACAAAACCACTAACTTGACCAAACCGGTTATTCTGATTTCAAAAACTAAGCTACTAAATACTTTCAGATTTTGGAAGTTTTATGGGGAATTCCCTTTTTTAACTGAAAGAATAATCCTCCTAGATAGAAAAAGAATTTTCCAAATCTTTATAAATTACGAAGTTATGAGACAACAAACAAAATATAATCATTTTTCAAGAAGATTGAAATTAACAGTTACTAAATAAAATGGATTTCGCCAAATATTACTCCAAGTAACCAAAATTTTTTTTATTGCAATTTAGCCTACAATAGCCCAATTCTAGCATATACTAATAACGCAGGCTGTAATTGTTTTTATATTGGATGATAATGGAATGGTAACCCCGTTTGCGCTAACGGTATACGCTGGCAGAGCACCAGTGAGGGATGATAGGAAAGAATAAAAAAAGCAGGTCAGTTAGCTCATCGTGTTGAATACCATTGGAAATTTTAGGGAGGGAAAGGGATCGTTAGTAATGAAGACTGAGAATCTCATTGCTAGTAATATACCCAGCCAGGCCGACCTCGCGGTTCTTCCTGGAAGTTATCATGGTTAATTTCTGATAAATTCATCATAATGGACTAACTGGCATGTTTTCATCTTCATATATCACCTTTCACTAGTGCTCCGCCAGCATATCCCGTTAGCGCAGGCGGGGTTACCATACCATTTCAACCCATCAAAAAAAAAAATACAATTGGAAATTAGCACGATGGTTTCTAGAGAGAACCACGTGGAGGTTGACCTGAAAAGAGTATATTGCTAGCAATGGGACTTGTAGTCCGCATTATTAACAATCCCTTCCCCCCGAGTACACTATTATTTACACAAATTACGGTAGTCACCCTCCCTCTGTGTTGTAAAAAAAAAGATTAATTTACATGGAGCGGGGTTTTGCCTCTTAAACATGATGCATATGTTACTCTTAGATATGTATTTACGAAGCTTTATTTGAATCCAAGTGGGGACATCATATTATGATTCGGATACTGAAGTACCTAGTAGAAGTATATAATTTATGCAGCGTTATCAGATTGGATATTTTTTCGAGATTTTGGATAAAAAAGTTTTGATTGCGATATTTTGGAAAAATTAAAGTTTTGTAATGAAATTTTTCTAATAGTAAAATGAAGTGAAAAACAATGCGAGTTTAGAGAGATTAGATAAATGTTCAGAAAATCGTATTGATTTGGAGACAAAATACCTAACGTTTAAGAAAAAAATAAAAAATTACATCTGGCAACCTTTATATCATGTCAAACAAAATATTTCGTGGTAGATATAATCATCAGTCTTGCATAACTTTCATACTAGCTATATATATATATTTGGTCAGAAAACATCATGCCAACATTAAGTTAAATGATGAAATGACAATAGTGCCAATTAACTAACAAAATACTGTCAAATGTAATGGAAATGGCTGCCATTTAAACTATTTGTGAAACGGTTTTAGCTTTGTTTTTCATATTTCTTTTTATTTTTATGTGGGAATTAGGACTATATATAATTAATATTGACTCTATTACGAGGTCTATTCTCGTAATTGGCCAAATATTACAGGAAATATTGAAAACTTTTTTTTACTATTAATAATATTACGAAATTTAGATCTCAAGATAATATTGTGTAAAATAATAAATGTATTTAAGAATATTATCTTTTGTTTTATTTTTGCTAAAAATTGTTCATCGGGACATGCAATTTGACATAACATTTATATATTTCTCTTATCACATGATTCTTTTATAACACGTTTTTACTAACAAACTATAGTATAATTATAACCTATTTGTTTCTATTTTGAACATCAAGCTGACCAACATAACGAGAAATACAGGATTTTGTGTAGATTGGTAAGATATTCCTGATCAAGTCGTTTTACTTAGTTTATACTACTCTCTTATAGTCACTTATATAAATATTAAATAAACAAAAATTTTTAATTTTATTAAATTTCAATTATCTCCGTTTTTTTATTTTAATACTTGCCCAGGTCGAAATTTAGAATTCCCAAGTCGAAGATTTAATTATTTATATTAAGGATACTTTAGAAGACTAATACTTATGTTTTCTATTGCTACATGGTTTAAGATATCAGTGTTTGTATGTAAAAGCCATTGTCCATTATCAGTTAATTATATTTATTGACAAAAATTATCTTGTCTATTTTATTTTAAACAGATATTCGTTTGTGTAACTTGGGTTCACGTCCTATATTTGAGTTGGAGACTCTCGGATACCTTACAACGCAATGCCGCTCACCGCTGACGTTGCTGCCCAACAAGTGCAAGTACGTAGTCAAATAAACTCAGAAACTAAGAGTTTTTTTTGGATATTATTTATGTTTTATGAAATATGGTAATTGTTTATACGTCTTTATAATATAAATATAAAAGTTAGTTTGTTACCTTATAGCACCTTAACAACTTCATCAATTATTATGAAATTTGTTATACGCATACTATATACAATGGAGAAGGAAGGTTACTCATTAGATATATGCCAATGACACTGACAAAGCCACATTTGAAAGCTAGCGGATAATACTCATATAATGTTGAGGTCGTTATATTGATTATCATGTAAACATTATCACATTTATCAATAACAGGAAAAAGTTTCATTAGTAGATAGCTTTACACAATGGGGTCGATTTTGAGACACCATTTTTCTATGCCTATTTCTAACATTAAAATTTCAATTTGATGTCACAGTGAAATCTATATTGTAAAGACCAATATGAACAAATTTTTTAATACAGTTAAAATTATTATAATTTTAGTTTATATAAGTGCATACAATAGTAATTTCAGGAATACATCAATTTAAATTTATTAGGGAAAGAGACAGGTTTAGAGAATTAACACATCAGAATCACCTAGAACGATATCTTGTAAAATTTAAGAATTATCATGTGAGATCATATAGTTACGCACAACGGCCCAAATGGGAGGCTAAGTGCGGAAAACAGAGTCTTTCTTACTTTCTTCTTACATATAGTTCCCTGTATAGTCATAGATATGTGTGTGTCTTTAAGACATGATTTTGACAATGGTGGAAAAAATAGACAAGTGAATTATTAAAATAGTAATAAATAATAATTTGGGAATTTTAAATAGATTGAAAAATTTAACCTTTTTACAGTTTGATCTGATAAGAATCAAACAGGCATTGCTCAGCTATCGTTACCGAGTGCATTACAAATACTTTATAGATGGAATATTTATTAGCTGTAAAAATTTTTAACTGCTTGTTCAAATCTCTTTACACCTGTTATGGGTAACTGAATAGTAGATATCCTTGTCTATATGAGAAATTATTTGACAATTTATTGGGTCATTAAGGCATCACAAAGTAACAAACAACTTTTATTAACAACTTTACATTTATATTTGTAAAGATGTGATAAACTTACAAGTAAACCATTTGACTGAAACTCATTAAATATTTCACTGTTCGATTTTATTTGTATGAATTCTGTTTTTGCGTAATTAATTTGTTTCTATTTGTGGTTTTTGACAGGAACGTTTAAGATCTCTACATAAATTAATATATGACATAGAAGCAGAGAGAGGTCGTAATGAGCAATGCATTGAATCCATATTAAGAGCAGAAAAGGCCATCGAGTCGCCATCAAATACTGATGATTCCTCAAGTTCATCACAGCAGGTATTTATTAGCATAGTTTCTAAAAATAAAAATTACATAATTTATATTTATTAATTACTTATTGGTTTTGAAATGTAAGTAGTATTTTGAAGAAAGAATTTTTAAAGTTGGTTACGTAGTTTTTGCAAACATATAAAAAAAGAAAACAAATCTTATCTCTTTATAATATTAGTTTAGATAAATATTTAATATTGATTCAATAATTATATACATATGAGATATCTCAACTATGCAAATATTGTTGTTGCTAGCAAATGCAGTTAAAAAATCTCTACAAATCAGGACTAACGGCTGCTGAGCAAGAAGAGAGGTTATTACGGGCCGCCTTGTCGCGCATTTATGATATTCGTGCTATAAAGAATGAGAGAAGGATACAGGTAATTTTTTTAAGATTACTAATGTATAAAGGTATAAAAGCTAAAATTATACTTTTATATTTTCATCTTGTTTGATTTATAGTTTATAAGAGACAATGTGACCATACATGCATACATATCTATCACGCCTGTCTCCATTAGAGTAGGCAGAAACAATGGAACGCAAAATGCTTCGATTCAAACAAACCTCTTTCGCTTCTTCCACATTTATTAATCTTGACCATTGTGACCGTTTAGGTACAAAATGATAATTATCTTGACGTTTCGACTAGGTTCCACAGCCCACACTTAATATCTTTACACTAGTTAACTTGTGATCGCGGCTAGTGGTTTTACCTAAATGATTGTGTTAATTTCCGTCTTTTATATACGAGAAATAGGTGTGATGAAATGCGGTGTGTGACGGCAGGCTCGCCACGCGGGCAACAAAGAGACAATCGGTTGCGGTGCGTTGATGAAGATGCTGCTAAGCGCGGCGCAGACGCTGCCGCTGCACGTGGGCGCAGCGGGCGAGCGTGCGCCACCGCTGTGCGGTGCTGCGCCTGCTGACCCCGGACATATCGCTCGTCCCGGCGATGCCGTCGCCGCGCTCGTGCGCGTCTCTGACAAGGAGGAGAACTGGATACTAGCCGAGGTCGGTCCTCATAATTTTTTTTTAAATAAGTCTGTGTTCAAAGTGACCAACATGAACACAAAATTTAATTTGTTATTTAATACTTTTATTTAGGTTATTCTTACACCCCAGAATTGTGTGATGACCGGCCCAGTATCTGAGCGGAGATTTCAGCTATTCGTAAAGACAAGTGTGCAATAAGACGTCTTTTAAGGGACCAGTCTGGCCCCCTAGAAAATAATTTTAAATACGCTAATGGATGGATCTCTTATTACTTACTCCAGTTTAGATTTAAGGGAAATAGGATAAAATAAGGTTATAAAATCCAGTAAAATTTACTTTATAGCGGCCTATATCAGACGTACCTAATTCCTCTTTCTCAAAAATTAAAAAGTTATTAATTTCTATGTAAATTTTAACATTACAAATCCCGTGTAAGCTAATGTTCGAAACCACTCAATCGATTTTAATGAAATTTGGTAAATGTGTCTTATTAACATAAGAGATAAAACAGTTTATCTAGGTAAGAAAAAATGGAATGTTTGCTAAGTTAGTTAATAATATATTCGATGTCGGTTAGGTTGTAAGTTGGCTGCCAGCACAAGGCAAGTACGAGGTGGATGATATAGATGAAGAACAGAAGAATCGACATGTGTTGAGTAAGCGGCGGGTTGTCCCGCTACCGTTAATGCGCGCGGACCCTCGCACCGATGAACACGCGCTGTTTCCTAAGGGCGCCGTCGTGATGGCACTCTATCCGCAGACGACGTGTTTCTACAGAGCGGTTGTCAATCGGCTTCCTGCTAGTGCTGCCGATCCCTATGAAGTTTTATTCGAGGTATATTTAAAAGTCTATTTTTCAATATTGTTATTATAAGTGCATTGATGACTATAGGACTTCTGCGCTATTTCGTACAAAACCTATAACTTTTCTAATAATTTTTAGAATTTTTGTGTAAAACTTTTTTATAAGAATTCGAATTTGGAATCTCAATTTGAGTTTTACTTAGTAGGTGTTCTATAGAAAGTACTTTTTCGTTTGCCAGGATTCCTCGTACGCGGACGGGTATTCCCCGCCGGAACGTGTAGCGCAGCGCTACGTGATTGCGATTAAAGAAGGCAAGGGCCGCGCCACCTGACCCTACTCGCATTCGCGCGCCTCCACCGCTCCGTCTTCTTCCGCGCGATCTTCCCCTATCTCCACCGATTCCATTATGTAGTTTTATTACGTTTATATACAAATTTTAATGTACTATAAAAAATATGGCAGGTTTACTAATTAAAATATAGGTCTTACCGTTTTGTTTGTTAGTTATAAGTGCTCAGTTTATAAGAATTGTAAAATTACTTTTTTAGTGTGTGAACTGCATTGATATACTAAATTTTTTATGATAATAAAAACTATATATGAAATATATTGAAATATTTCATGTTTTTAAACAAAATGTAAAGTATATAAAAACACATGACTAGTTATAGAGATCAGTCATATGATATAAAAAAAAAAATTATGACTGCTGGTATAGAATGTACAAAGAAAATAGAAAGTCGAGCAAATGAGGGATTTGTTGATGGAGAACAAAACCTTTAAGCAGCACTGGTGAATGCGTATTATGAAGAATGGACGTAGATAAGTCAATCTTGTTAAACTTGACGTAACTCTGGTCTATTCAGTCTACTAGAATATTTTTATTACGCAAGTTAATAATAATAAAATGAAATAAATTTTAAAGTGGTATTTATTTTATAATTATATACCTACTTTCATACAAGACAATATAATATTTTTTCTATAAACAAGTCTTTTTTTGTAAAAGCTTTTAATTAAATATAGATTATTACTTAATAGATTTAAAATTGTTGAAACGTCTTGTTCATAGAAAAATTACATAAGTTTACACAAAGAATACATGATAAAACTTAAAGAAAAAATAAATTGATTGTTTAGTTATTTCGGTATATTAAAGTAATATTGATAAAATTAATGAAAGAAAATAAAATATGTATTTCTTATAATCGAAGTTCGAATACGCAACTATTCAAGTGTTAACTAAAACAATTTTTTATACATAATTTTCAATTAAATAAAAACTCTTGGTCCACTTACGATTGTAGGCAACACAAGATTAATGTTGCTTCAATAATATACAAATAAGAAGCCTAGTTGTCTTATATTTACAGATAAATTATTTAAAACCTATTTATTCATTACATGAAATCATAATTTACATAAACACCAATAAACAGTATCCATGAAGATGGTATATGCTCAATAGAACCCTTATAATTGGTGACTTGAGCAAACTGAATTTAAAGATACTATTTGAATGTTTCAGAAGATTTAAAAGTATCGTGTATCAACTTATCACAGTAAGAAAAAAAGGTTCGTTTTTCTTATATAGGTTTTTCTGGCAGTTAATAGAAATGCGGCGCACTGCATTATAACGGTTGACTTTTAAGACAATTGTAAATATAATTTTCAATACCATCTTCCTGGTCTCAATACTGATAAATTCGACATTTATCTGTATCCAGAGAGTACATAATTTTCGGTAGGAGTTATTAACGCTAACTATGATGCGCAGACATTATTTTTTAATGATTGTCAATACACAACAATAATTCGTACCGGAAACGATACATACAGCCAAATTAAACAAATTTAAAATAAAACAATAGTTATTTAGCCCTCGCACTGTGATATACTCGGGGCTTAAGGAAGCACAATAAAAAGTAATACAATGTAAAAATATATATTTTTTTTATATTGAGAAGGGCGGCTGATAAGTTTGCGACTTAAGGTACTTAGCGATGACTATCTCACTACTAATAATAAAATTGCATGACTCTTTGTAAGTATAAATAATACTTTTTTTTCATACTTAGTTCATTAAAATTACTGACTTTTTATTGCTACTGCATTCCTAAATTGATCCCGGGATCCTGATATTATCTTTCAGTAATCCCGAAATCCCGGGATAAAAAAAACAGTCTATTATATCTCTGTATTCTCTAACTACAATGAACGAACAGTACTACGATAAATTACTGGGTCAGGCACATGACGCAGTTGTACAGAAGAGACGTGGCAAGTTAGCGCACGGAGTGCTGTTTTTGCAAGACAATGCGCCCGTTTACACAGTTCGGGTTGCAAGAGATGCTTTAAATGATACGGGATTCATAGAAATTAACTACCCACCCTATAGTCTACACCTGGCTCGCAGTGATTTTTTCCTCTTTCAAGTTTAAAAAAGGAGTTACAAGGACGAAGATTTTATGACGACAGCAAGATGAAGGCGGATGTAGAAAACCATTTCGAGGAGAAACCCAAAGAATATTTTTTCAAAGGATTTGGATCTTTGTACTCACGATATGAAAAGTGTATTTCCTATGAGGGGAATTATATTGGAAAATATAAAATTATACTTTTCATTCATAAAGCACCTGAGGCCGCGAACTTATCAGCCTCCGCTCGTACCCTCGCAACTAATAAAGAGAAAATAAAAGCGAAATATTTAATGTGTTTAATTAAACTCAGTCCTACTAACACACTTACAACAAAATTACAAAACAATGAGCATAATTATTTAAAATAATAATATGGCGTATCTTTGTTTGAGATAATTGAGATCAATGTTGTATATAGCATTTTCAGTTACAAGAAAGAACCTTTTTTTGCCTCCCTGGACAAGTGCCAAACGAATTTAATCTATTTGGATACATTTTCAGTAATGCAGTGTTGTTAAAACAAGACGTATATGCACGTAGCGATAACATATATATAGATAATTAGTTTGTTACTTGTCTAGAGAAGCTGGATTCTTAATAAACAATAATAACTAAAACATTGATTTTAAATTAAGGTGTGCTATTAGGAAGTAAATATTTTAATAGTCAAATAATCAATTTAAAGTACAAATATTTAATTCTTGATCAATGTTCACTTTCAATGATCTTATAATTCTACTTTGTCACCATATATATATACTATAATCTATGGTTTTAAATAATTATTTAAATATATTTTGATTTATGTATAAAATATAGCATTTTACACATAACATTAATTTTACCGTCTTGTCAAATTAATTACAATTGATTTCATTTTTTGTATTGTCAAATAATTTAAATAATAAAAAAGAAGGCGGCTAGAGAGCTAAAAGCAATATTTTTTTAGTAAAATGGAATAGTAATAAAAAAAAAATAATAACTGAGCGACTCCAATTGGAACCTGAAAATCAAATAATAAAATATATACATATAAATTAAACCAAGTGTATGGTAGGCTTATTTCTTGTCACATAGGAGTGTAATATGTTACGGAAAAATGTGAGGATGTTAGGTGTTACGTTCACCATAACAGCAACCAGTCGACAATTCTCACTACCCATGCTGGATTACAATGGTGAGCATTTTTTAAAACCCTTTGTCTTAATAGTTACAGATAATGAAATTATTTCGGGAAACTATTATTAGTAAATTTTTTTTTTATACAACTTAGAATGGCAAACAAGCTGACGGCCCACCTGATGGAAAGTGGTAACAGTCGCCTATAGACATGAGCAGTACCATGGAAATAATAGAGTATACTGTTTCGGCCATGATATCCCCATGCGTTGCCATTCCTGAGGACTCAGGTGTTATTCCTCTGTACCCTGTAAATTCACGCCATATCCCACCCTTCAAACCGAAACACAGCCATGTAAACACAACTGCTTCACAGTAGAAACACGAATGGGACAGAGGTACCCAAGCAATCGACTTTTGTACAAAGTCTCCCTCTGGTAAATCTCATATTATTATCATATCAGCCGTCTACTGTCCACTGCTGTACATAGGCCTCCCCCAGAAGCATGGTATTATCAGTAGTTGCCACGCTCAACAGGCGGATTGACAACTGCAGTTAGGCTTTAGTGATGTTTTAAGAGGGACGCTGTTGCCCACCTTCTGGACTATTAAGTTCCATTAGTTGTCTTATAGAACACCCACGGGACGGTAAGGGGTGGCCTATCTCATACTGGGATCACACGGTACCTATATCTCTACCTAAATGCTGCTACTATGGGGTGTTCTATTTTTTTTTATGTAGGCGGCCTTTAAAGGGTTGGAATAAATAAATACCTTCAAACAGCCTGGCGGTCGCTCATGAGTCCCTGCAGTTTGCGCGTGACGCTGGGGTTGGAGTAGCGTGCACGTTTAAGTACATCAGCCCCGATAGTGTCAGTGGGGCGTTTCATACCACCAATACCGCCTACTTCACTCGAAACCATGCTGTTTATCGCGTGCAAATCCTGAACAGTATACAGAATATTCGTAATTTATCATCATTATTATATTTTCTGCAATCATTCGTTGTTAGTGCGGACTACCAGTCCCATTGTTAGCAACATACCCCGTTAGGTCGGTCTCCTCATGATTCCCCTGGAAATCATCGTACAGAATTTCAGGTGTATTCATCACGATGGGCTAACTGATCTGCCTTTTCATTCTCATCTATCATCTTTCACTGGTACCCCGTTAGTGTGTACCGTTAGCGCAAGCGGGGTTACCAATTCATTATCATCCATAAAAAAATATTCTCTATTAATTGTAACTAGTTATTTCCTATGGATTTGATGAATGCATCAGTGTAATAATATATAATAGGATATAAATTTACCCATTTACAACAGCCTAAATGAGAGGCTGAATGCGGGAATAGGAGTTTAATTTTAATTGCAAATTTACCTACCCATGTACTATATATAATCTGTACAGCCGTTTAAAGTGTGCAAAATATTTTACAATTTTTATAATAGTTTAAAACACCTGTAGTGGCTACAATCATGTTCATCATCCCATTAACTAGTGCTGATATGTCTTTATATATTGCCAGGAGCGATTCCGAGCTGTCTGCATACATTATCTATCGTATTAGTAATTTTTATTTTTCTATGGGTGTATCACTCCAAAATGCGAAGTCTCAGTGGCGACAGCATTGTACGCATACAGCTATGCAGAGAAATTCTTTCTTACCTTGGCGGGACTTCGGCTGAAGCGGTACGTGAGTTGGCAAGACGGCAGGTGTGTCGAGGTGAGTGGCCGCACGTACAGCTGGTGCCGCTCCGACACTCGCAGCCCCAGCGGCGAACTGGCAGCGTCGCCACGTGTGGCCGGCAGTGGCGAAAGCATTCCCGCTTCCTATAAGTATGATCACTGTTGATTCAATCATTATCAGTAGACTGCAATAGTCCACTGCCGGACAAAGCAAGTCTCAAAATGTTCATTTCAAGCACATATCACAATACTTAGAATATTCAAATAAAAACATTTTTAAAATTACTCATATATGAAACTGCAATGTTATCGTTTTTAGTAAATTTTTTGTAGTGTTTAAATGATTGCAAGTATCAGTAAATTAATCTTGAATAACTTAAAAAAGAAAAAAGCTTACATTTCTTAGTTTTCCGTCGGCGAATCTTAGAACAAAGTTCTGCATACATGGCACATATACGGCATTATAAAACGTAATTAAATCTGCCCTTTTCTCTGGTTCTGCGGATAAAAAACAAAGTATGATTTAAAAAGCTTATAAGTAGTTCTATATCTAATTTTTACAACAAATGTTTTGCTCTACGAAGCTAGTAAAATAAAAAAGCCATACTTACCAGTTTCTGTTGCTCTTCTGATCAATACATATCTATAAACGTGATTATTTGCTAGAGGCCTTTGGCGATAATAACGCATGATGTCTGCAAATGTCCTTTCAACTCGATTGCTTTGTGTGTTAGATACCTAAAAACAAAAGTATATGTAATAAGTAAAGAATGACAAATAAATAAATGAATAAATATAACTACAAAACATATAGATGAACTGAGAACCTCTTTCTTTGAAAAGTCACATAAAATTATACACTTAGTAGAGATTATTAAGTATATTTTAAAAAGCATTCTCTTACTTGACAAAAGAGAAAAGAACAAGAGCAACGAAATTATATACACTGAAAGAGGCAGAATCTTGACTGTATAATAGATTTTTTTTTTTAAATACATGACACTAACCTTACAAATGACATAGACAGCACATAATAGAAGTTGATCAAGATGTCTGTCCTTTAGCACTTGAGTTTGGTGCATAATAGAGTACTCGAGGCATGTCCATATTTTTCGTTTCAGCTCTTCGTCACTTAATTCCAGTCGTTTACACAAGTCGTTTATACGTAACACCGCCAAACTGTAGAACTGTTATACGAATCTAAGGTTAAGATATGTAGTTTCCTTCTAATATATACATGCCCGTATGTTAATTCAGGAGACTAGTGGAAAATGAATCTATAGATGTTCCGCTAGTTTCTATTTTGTGTAAGCCTAATCATATAAAGTTACATTTTATTTTAAGCTACCTTCATTGTACACGAATTGTGGCGTGAATTTACAGGGTACAGAGGAATAAAACCTGAATCCTCAGAATTGGCAACGCATGGGGCACCAATATCATAGGCGAAACAGTATACTTGTCCATGATATTGCTCATGTCTATAGGCGACGGTTACCACTTTCCATCAAGTGGGCCGCCAGCTTGTTAGCCATTCTAAGTTGTATAAAAAAAAAAACAAAAGAAAAAAAAAACACGAAGTCCGCTGTTGCAACTTAGCGGACAACGACTAGTTTTTATCTACAACTTTATTTGCATGAGAAATTGCCCCAGATAAAAAACAGTTTATGTCCTTCTTTATAACAAATATTCTATCATTAAAATTGCATTACGAATTGTGAGTTTAAATAATAAAAAATGACTATTCCCTAAAAGTGCTAATATATAAGTTTATTTCAATCAAAATTACTTCTATTTTTTATATTACTATCTTTCATGATTTTTGGTTGAGGCGTTAAAGTGCTAAGAGGTAACAAACAAACTTACTATCACATATATATTAGTAAGGATTTACTATGTTTTACCTTTCTAAAGAAGAGTATCAATGAGTTATTAGGTTTTTTAGGAGTTGTTGATGTTATAGACAAATCACCGTTACTTGTACTTTGTCCCGCTTGCGACGTGTTCGGTTCTTCTTTAACATTTATGTTATTTGTTGACACTAAAATCAAAAAGACAGACATGGAAATATAAATAATTTAAATTATAAAAGCAGGTATATAGTATATATATGCTTATATCTCATACGTTCTTACATACAAGTAATAAGATTATTAATACCTAGTAAAGATTGTCCAGGTTTTATGTTGTCTCTGAACAATTGCTTTTTGGCATGTTCAGCCGATGGCACAAGAAAGCGATCGATGACATTAGATGCAGGTGATTGAAGTAAATCTAAAAACAATAAAAACATATTTTATGTGATAAACAATAAAATAAAAATAGCTTAGATTACTCGTATAAAACACGACTTTCATGGAACAAAGGCGTCAGTACATTTCACTCTATAATACAATATAAGCAAATACTAACTATTCCGGCGATTGGGCGATTCTGATAAAGAGACCTCTGCAGAGGACGGTACTGAAGCTCGCTGCAGTTGCTCCCACAGAGGACTGTCAGATTTCCATACCTTGGATTCTAGTACTAATTCTTCGACCTATTAAAAGAGATTTTATATCAGCAAATAGAACTATGATAGAGGCAATTTTAACAAGAATTTTAATAGCAAATTATACTTCTAGATATTTCATTAAAGGATAATTACTGTGAACATTTTCTTATATTCATAAGAGCAATGTAGTATAATAATATTGATAGTTAGAATAAATTTCAAAGAATAAAAAATGACAGATCATGAAATTCTAATTACGTATTACTTTTGCTGTGGGCCTAGCACAATATTGTAGTTGGGTTTTTTAGTATTTCTGATTTGATGAGTATTTTTTTGTAAATTTTCAGTCCTTATCTCATTATTGTGTCAGTGTAGTGAGCAGTTAAACAGAAAAAAAAATGGCTTCTCTTTCAGATAAATCCCACTGGGGCGGTTAAAAGCGTAATATAAAAAAGAACACATTTTATTAATTGAATACACAGACATAAATTTATAAATAGTGAATAATATCCGTAACCTATAAAGAATATATAATAATTAAGAACAGAGTATCTTACCAGACAAAAAATATTGAATTGTAAGTGGTTAATTCAATTTATATTTACCGTATTTAGATGTTTAATAGTATCCCTACTGAGTTTATCAGATACAGCCTGCACCACCAACTCAATGATCTTGTAAAAGTGGAATGCACTGAGTTTGTAAATGTTGAGAACTTCAGGAAACCTTAGTGAATGGACTCCATATACATGGAGTATGACTTCAGTACAACAAGCATATAATGCCAGCTGGTAAGTATCTTGACTCAGCAGTATCTGCAAATATATGATTACAGTTCACATAAGTATTGTATTTATTTGACTGTAGTTATTTATTAGTATTATACAAAGATGTAATGTAAAGCACTCTAAAAATTTTTAAAAAGAATGTAATTCTCAACTCACTTGTATTTTTATGTAAAATCTATATTGACAATAATATATCGCAGTTATTCAGATTAACAAATTATTTATTATTATAGTATTTGTTGGGTGGAATAGAGGAATATTAAACTAAATATAAATAAAAAAAAAAAAACATACTTGTAATGAAAGTTGAGGTTTCTTTTTGTGTTCTTCAGTGATTATGTGTTCGAGAATTTTAAAATACAAGCACGTGACCCTGTTACACCGGTACACGATGATTTCATTACTGCAATCTAGCTCTCTGAGTCGGTTCGAGAACTGCGTTATCCATGCATTACATGGTTGTATTACGTTTGTAATAATAGATTCTTCACTTACTCCACATTCACTGCAATGTTTTAACAATATATTAAAAAACTACATCTAAATAAATATAAAGAGGAAAGATTTTTATTTTTTGTTCGTAATGGATAAACTCGAAAAAAAAAATTGTCTTAAGAATGTGCGTATCGACAGCAGTCAGCAATTGCAATAGTGAGTGGAGATTTTTCTGTCTAAAGAGAGTGAAAAATTGTGTTCACTTAACCATGACAGACTAAAGATTAAATTCGTTAACAAGACTTAATATTGAATCAAACTTAGTACTTGTTATCTTGAAACTATAAGGATTTTATTAACAATTTCGCAAGACAAAAATGTGGACGCAGAAACATCTATTTTTTTTTTAACAATTGTCATTAATCTTGATTATTATAGTCATCAATGTTTACTAGTACTGGTTAAAATTTATTATATATGGCCTGCTAGAGCTGCTCTATCAATATCCATAGCCTGCAGTCATCCATTCGAAGGCGCCGCAGATATGTTAAGCGCCGTACATGAAGTTGATTTTTTAAATAGAAGTAAAAGTGGTTTGTAGTTGTCATCGAATGTATAATAATTAGAGGAAACTATAGGTTATTAACTACTTATTACGGAATACTTTATGATAATCATACTGTTTGTTTCCTGAATAAAATAATATAAAAAAAAATATAGCTTACGAGCAGAGTCTTAAAAGAGTAGAAGAAGGCTGTGGTTTGGAGCCCTGTAGGTAGGAAGTGAGGTGGGCGCAGCTGTTGGCTGCTTCGGAGACTGGTGACAAGAACAGTTCCTGTTGCGGCAAGTAGCGCTGCCCTGATAGTGGTGTGTCTGGGCATGCTCGTCCATTCTGTGCACAATTTTTTCTTATACATCTAGGATGTCAAACAAGCTAGTAGCTTTTAAAAAATATGGAAATTATCAATAACTGGGTTTAACAGCCCCAATGCTTGCAATATATCCAATCAGGTCGATCTACATACGGTCCCCTTGCAAACCATCATTTAATTAATTCCTGGAGAATTTGTCACGTCGATTCAACTGACCTGGCTTCATATATATCTATATCATCATCGTGGTATGTGCCAGCGTTTACCAATAGCATGAGTGGGATTACCATTCCATTTTTATCGTAAAAAAAGTAACCCTTCATAAGTAGTAATCCTCATCTTCAGAATTAAATAGTATTATGCATATCAAGGAATACGCCATATTACATATGGTATCTTTCATTCATAATTCTTTATGAGGCCTGTGTTAAAATTACACATATCCCCGTTATATATAGTTATCCAAATTAAGAAATTTGGTTAGCATATCCCAAACTGAAACACAGGCATCCACACTTGACAGCTGTTTTTTTTTGTTTTGCGATAGAACTATAAGCGATACAGAAGTGCCTAAGTAAAAAATAATAAAAAAATATTTATTTAATAGAGAACTAACCGACTGAAATGTAGAATTGACTTCGGGCGTCATAGTTTCATCTCTGTTCATGATTCCAAACTGTTCCTTAGCATCGTCATCTGAAAAGTATAGTTGATTTTTATATATTACAATAAAAAATACTTTTACATTAATTAATAATAAGGATTTGAACTCGAATGACTGTGATTTCTGATCAATATAATGTTCATCAACATCATGTTGCTAATTAAAATAAGTACTACTAGTTTTTCAGTGATGGTGGTAAAATTTGTTAGTGTTTGTTTCACCATAATAAAATAATTGTTTACTACATAAAATTAAGCTAGTAATATTGTAATGGCATACATGACTTAACCAGCCGATTAATTTGGGGAATTCTAAGTTCACACACCTTTTGTCACTTGATTTACAAATACTTACTTAAGAAAATTCTTTCGTCAAATTCCATAATACTGAAAACATGGGTCTCAAAGTGTTTTTTCAGAGAATTTATGTTTGCCTCGAAGTTACCGACGTTTAATATGCCCATTAATTGCTCCTTGTTTCCTCTCAAAATCTGAAATAATTATAATTTTGATGTAGAAAAAATTGTATTTACTCAATAAGTTCATATTGTATTTTAACTACATATCTAGCTCAGATACTCAGTATTAAAGTATTTCTTTTTCAAAAATGTAGGATAATGTGTACATTTTACAGTCAGAAATATGAACCATAATCTTATATACTTTCTACCCTATGCAAGACATTATGGAAGATTGATATACCATCCCTCATTTCTTTCAATAATATGTTCCTCTAGTTTTTTTTTTTTTTATACAACCATGCTATTCTATTGCGATTAATCTGATGGCTTGTGTGAAGGAAAATTAGTAACAATTGCATATAGATATAACTGTGTTACCCATGCTACTCCTTATGTATTGCCATTCCTGAAGACTAAAGTGTTATGCTTCTGTATGTTGTAATTACACTGCCATTTCTTTAGAATAATAAACTTTTAATATCAAATTGAAATTTTAGTTTTAAATTTAGCAAATAGGATTTAAAAATCAATTCCATTAAACTTTCCAATAATATATTTATTTATTTATTAACATTTTATTGATATCAAATATGAAAAGATATATTAAAAGAATTAAAAATTCTTTTAGGTATATTTGATGTCAGTTTAAACAAAGATATGACATTACCTTTCTATCAAAAAATGATTTTATCACAGGTGTCCAGCTGTACTCTCTCATGATTAATGCTTCCTTAGCTAATTTCATAGTTGGGTCCTCCATGATTTCTTGAAGGATTGATATTAGACATGGTGGATTAGTTGGTAACTCAAAATCATCACTTTGCCAATTGCTAGGCAGGCCTTTAACAGAATATTTTTTTCCATCATAAAATTACAAGAATGGTAAAGAAATCAGTCTATTACAATATTAAAAATAAACACTTAGGACTGCTGTTTATTTAGGTAATTGAAATTACACTGAAATTGTTAATATAATTTAAATTTTTATGAAATAAAGATAGATAATGATTAAAAAAATACAATACCTTTAAAATTAGGATTGATGAGATCAGTCCGTCTGGCCATAAAGGCATTGGCATAAACATAGTCAAGACTAGACAATAATAAATGGTACATATCGACTAAGTCATCAGAGTTCTGAAACTCTCCTTTAACACATATATAAAGATACCATGTAAATGTGAACAAAGTATTACTTGTACTGGTTGACCTGCAATATAATAAAAATATAAACCATGTTGAATTGGTATAACTGTATGTAATTAACAATCTTTAAAAAAATTTTACAGTCACTCAGTTGTCATAAATAGTCTATTTAAGATTTCTGGACAGAGCTCCTTCTCATATCTAGCCCAAATTAAACAGTGTGAACTATGGATGGATACTATGTAAACAATAGACATTTATATACATACACATAAATAAAAATCTTTGTATGTCGTGAAGAGAGCTTGCAACCTATGCCATGGCATGGCAATACAATGTGGTTATCTGTAAAACTACTGCAGCACCAATTTCATAATATTAATTACTTATTATTTTACTATTTTGCTCATAAATCAGGTTGCTTTTTTTTAATAACACTAAATATGCGGCTCATCTGATGGTAAGTGACTACCGCCGTCCATGATCACCCGCAACACCAAACACATTGTATTGCTGTCAGTTTTTTAAAAAGGAATATGCTTTTTCTTGAAGGATATAATGTTGTATCGGTTCAGAAATACTGCTGCTGATAGTCTATTCTAAAGTGTGGTTGTGGATAGAAGAGAATGCATTGAAAAACGGATGGTGGAAGACCACCTCATCCAGATGGTTGGGATGGAAATTTAGGTTGTAGCAAGAGTAACAGGCAAGAAACTTTAGTGCTATTCTTGTTTAACCAACAGTTCACTTAATAGAAAGTGGTAATTCTTATGTCAAATATTATGGTTTTCACATGCCAAAAGGTAACAAATACAGTCTCACATAATATTAGTAAGAATAACTTACCCTGTAAAGATTTCTTGAAATATGGATCTATATTTTTTGGACAACATCGCAGTTACAACAAACTTGACCTCTAGGTCATTCATCTTCTTTTTGAAATCCTCTGACATGGAAGCAACATCACTCCACAATTTTATTTTATTAAAAAACTGAATAAGCCTGTAAATACTTCTTTTAATGTATTTATGTATGACATCTTAAAATTATTACTAACTAGCAAAACCACCCCAATTTCGCACTGGTTCTTTACAAAAAAAAAAATAGCCTATGTTATTCTGAGGAGATAGATTATTATTATTGTAGTACATTATTTTGATTTATCTCGTGGGGTTCAGCCAGCATTTGAAATGTAAGCGCAAATAAATGTGTTTATTTACGACATCACATTAGAAACTTCTAAATTAATCAGTGTTTCTCTACAATATTATGCATGTATTATACATATAAACCTTCCTCTTGAATAACTCTATCCATTACAAAAAAAAAAATGCTTCAAAATCCGTTGCGTAGTTTTAAAGATTTAAGCATACATAGGGACAGACAGACAGAGACAGCAACTTTGTTTTATATTAAGTAGTGATAACAAATTTATAGAAATATTTTATGATTAATCTTGAGCCAATTAGTTTTTTTTATATCAAAATATTTTTGAACAATCTTACAAAACAGTTGCCTGTTTAATATACAAGGCGGAATGGACAGGTTACATCAGATAGCAGATTATTTTCCCATTGGGAATGCACCACACCCATATAATTAATGATTATTAGTTTCAATACCACTCAATGTATTTGAAATTTTACGAACTACTGTGCTCCACATGACAGGGGATATCTACACAATACTTTTCTTCATAGGTATTTTTCATATGTTTGTGGCATTGACCTCACATAGCTGATTTTGCATATTGCTGTATACTTTTAATACAAACAATACATTACTGTTTTATGGTATTTCACTAAAGATTATTATTATTTATTTACATTATGAAATAATATTACATGATTTTAAATGAAAAAAAAAAAAATAGAAAAATTTTAATTGTCCTGGAAAGCAGGACAATTCAAATTTTTCTATTGGTTTCCAGCTTTCATTGGTTTTCAGTTCAGAATATATTATGTCTAAATTCGCTTAAATTATTAAATGGTAAAAATTTAAGCGAATTTAGACATAAATTCGCTTAAATGGTTATTTAAACACAGATAAAAAATAATATTAGACTATTGTCTAATATTATTTATATCTAATATTATTACATATAATTGACTGCTACAAAAATATTATTATCTTATTTGTTTCTTTTACCATTATCTCAATAAAAAATTGATGTACATTATTTATCAAATATAAAAATATATTTAATCTTTCCAGCTCATATAGATACAGTGTAAGTAATATCTATAGAAAGAATAAGTCTTATTGATAAAAGTTAAAACATTCTACAAACCTAATTATAGAACAACTTTAATTATAGTGCTTTATAACTATTTTTTGAATTAAGAATATAGTTTAAATCAAATAAAAATTACATAAATTTTTATAGATGTTAATGTTTTTATGAATAAGGGATAAACCTGCAATATGTAAATGTAATAATATCATATATGTATATAGCTATACATACTTTAGGTTACAGAGCCTAAGTAGGTTTGTAAGGCTTATATTTATGGTGTAGTCCTCAGAGTCACTATCAGATCGACCACTGGAATTAGATGTGTGACAAGCTGCATATAATGCACATCCTATCCAGTGTAAGAGGTCACCCTGAAATTTAAAATGTTATAAGTATTTATGATTTTATTTTATATTTAAGGCTTCTATGAAAGTGCATTCCTTAATGACTATTGAGTATAACACTATTTATAGTACTTTAAATATGTTCAAAGTTAAGAAAGACTTTTTTAATAATGTAGTTTCACTATATAAAATGATGTAAAATTATTATAAGAGCAACAGACATATGATTTTGTTCATTAGTTTGTTTCACATGAAAACTGTCATGTAGGATATTAAATGTTTTAGTTAATAATCTATTCACGATTTATTCCATTATAAGGAGAATGTTTGTGCTAAGAGGTAACATTTACCTCAGGCGTGTGTTATGAAAGTGTCTCATTGGAAATAAACATTTAACTAAATAAAAATATACACCATTAAGCTGAAAAAAAACTAAATTTAATTGCATTTACTTACATCTAGCGTATATTGGCGATTGGTTTCTATAAATGAATTCTTGAAATTTCTTGCAAATGCAGGATCTATATTTAAATTCGAACATAGGTTATCTATTTTCGTTATAATATTTTCTTCGTTATCTTCTGATCTAGACATGATGAGGATTAGTATTTTATTTTATTAATTATTAAATTATTTACACAAACAAAACAACTTCAGATGAAGAAGAACAACTTGGCCTTATTTTTGACAAATTTGACAATCTATTGGCGGGAATGGGCTCATCCATCAATTAGACTCCCACGCTTAACTCTATAGAGTTCCACGCCTACAAGACTTGTCTATGATTATTTTTCTATATAAGTTGTGATAAAAGCAAATATAAAAATTGTATGGTACTTGTCGTCAATCTTTATTTGTATATTACTTTAAAGCTAAGACTAGCAAATGTTGCTGCACCAACGTAGCGATTTTAAAAGTAAAATCTCTATTATGAATTTATTTTATTAATTGCCACTTGTTAAGATTAAGACTAACTGTCTAACCTATATCTATGCTAAAGCTAGATGTTTGTATTCCCACTGACCGAAATATGAAATATTTAACATAGAATGGGAAAGCGCGGGAAACGTTTAAAAAAGCGGGAGTGTTTTTTGATCTTCTTTAAATTAATTTTATTTTTATTTATATAAGGATTAGTCTTTTTTATATATTGTGTATTAGATTGTATATTTAATTGTATATTTTGTAGTAATAGTGTTTGTTGCTGTAAATATTGGTAAGTAAATTACCTATATTAACATTATGGATCCACCTATAGACCCTGGGGGGACAACCCCCAGGTGTCTGCAAATATAACTATTCCATTCAATAATAGTTTTGATATATTGGGTGAATCTAGTATGGACACAGATGGTTCTAGCGTTGCAAGTTCTAAACGTAAGCGAGTACGTGGTGAACGTCGCATTTGCAAACATTGCAATAAAAAACGAAGGAGGCACACCAAGGGTCTTGAATCTAAAATTAAAGATAGTGATTGTCAATGTATTGAAGATGAGAATCAAACTCAAGTATCAATACCAGTTGTAAACAATACCGAGTCTGTTAAACCTGCTTCTCCACCCAGTACTTTAAGCAGAACTTTGTACAATGCCGAGGATATAGCACCTTATGTCGTTCATGTACAAAAAAATGAAACACATCCTAATGATAACACTACATTACATCCTATTGCATTTGGTCGCTTTTTACATACTAATAAGATAAATAATATAGTGAATGGTAGCCTCAAAAGAATAGGAAGAAACCGTTTATCGCTTTCTTTCTCAAATTTTGAAAATGCAAATGCATTTTTAAATAATAGTAACTTAGAGACACATAATTTTAAGGCATTTATACCTTCTTTCCATGTAACCCGTATGGGAATTGTGAGGGGTATTCCTAAAGATTGGACAGAAGAGGAAGTAATCCACAATATATCAGTACCGATAGGTTGTGGGAAAATTCTAAAAACCAGAAGAATAAAGAAAAAGACAATTAATGAAGGACAACCAAGTTTTATTAATACTGAAACCATTGTTATTACTTTTGATGGACAAATATTGCCAAAAAGAGTATTTATGTTTTACACATCATTAACTGTAGATTTGTACATTTACCCTACTATCCAATGCTATAACTGCTGTAGGTTCGGACATGTCAAGATGCAGTGTCGTTCAAATCCTCGGTGTTATAAATGCAGGCAAAATCATACAGGTGATAAATGTGAAGTAGATGAGGAAAATGTTTCTTGTATCTTGTGTAATGGTTCTCATTCAGCAATTAGTAAAAAATGTCCTGAATATGCACATCAGAAAGCCATTAAAGAAACAATGGCCCATAGTTGTGTTTCTTATGCTGAAGCATCAAAATTTCATCCTCCAACTTCTAAACTATATTCAGATGTATTAACATCATCATCTCCTTCCAATAAATCTCATTTTCAATCTTCTTTCCTTAAAGAGAAATCATCATTACCACATATACAATCATCATATAAAAAAACAGTTACACTTAAACCACGCTCTCCTCAAAAAATACAACAAGGATATGATCGTTCTGCCCATGAAGCCATAGTTAAGGAATATAATATTCCTGCTCCCTCTAATGGTTGTGCATTATCATCAAATAATATTGACAATAATCAATCCATCATTGATATTATTCTCATGCTTATTAAAGTGTTATCGCAATCAAAAATGATACAAACAACTTTACCACCGTCCAACGATGCCATGTACAATGTATTTTCTCAATTATTAACTTCTCACAATGGATTACAAAGTCCAAATAATTCAGTGGAACTGTCGTAGCATAACAAATAAGAAATCAGACTTATTTTATTTGATTAATAAATATAATCCTTTTATAATAGCTCTACAAGAGACTTGGTTAAAGCCAGGATATCCTTTTAGGATTTCAGGCTTTACAAGTCTCCGTGATGATAGAGCTGACGGATATGGCGGTGTTGCCATATTGGTCAAAAACTCCCTTCTTTTTTCTTCTTTTTCGCTTCCTGTATATAGCGGCATTAATGCAGCTGCTATAATTATAAATGGTATCTGTTTTGTTACTTTATATATTCCTGATCCTACATGCCAAATATATTCACAACTAGAACAATTATTTTCAATTTTACCTAAACCTTTTCTCGTAATGGGCGATTTTAATGCTCAGCACCAATCGTGGGGCAGTTCTACTTCTAATTTTTATGGTGGAAAACTCCTGACGATAATTGACACTTACAACTTATGTATTATTAACTCAGATGTACCGACACGTAGAACTGCACCGAATGAAGGGTTTAGTGCTCCTGATATTTCAATATGTTCTTCTGATTTAGCTTCTTCACTGTCGTGGTATCCTCATTCCTCTACCTTCGGAAGCGATCACTTTCCCCTCATTCTTTCTTTTCCAATTTCCATTCCCTCAAGTCGAAAGAGTGGTCCTCGACTTAAATATAATTTATCAAATGTAGACTGGAATATTTACAAACAATATTTAGATAATAAAATATCGGAGTTACCTATTGTTTATCATGGAAATGAACATCAATGTTGTAATGACTTGATAATTAATATGAAGGAGGTTGCTGATTTATTTCCTGTTAAAAATAGTGCTTCAGGGAAAATTCCCTCCCCACCTTGGTGGGACAAAGATTGTACGGAAGCAATTAAAAATCGTAAAGAGGCTGAAAAAAATTATAATAATTACATGACATCAGAAAATTTTGAAATTTACACCGCAGTTTCACGTTCTTCTCGAAAACTACTGAAAAAAAAAGAAATTGGAAGGTTGGAGAAGATTTTGTTCTTCTATCTGTCCAGAAGTTAATTCATCAGTCGTTTGGAATAATATTAAAAGATTCAGATCTGCCTTTAGTGATCATACATCACGTTCTGCACTCGATTTAACTTTAGCGAATAAATTTTTAGATCGCCTTGCTCCTAGTTATGTGCCGGAATGCCTTTACAATATTTCTCTATCCGTCTCTGACGAATTATCCGAACTTGAGTCTCCTTTTACTCTTGTAGAACTTAAAGGTGTTCTAGCTTGTATTAAAGACTCTGCACCGGGAGAAGACGGTATACCGTATTCCTTTTTTAAAAATGCTAGCGATGCGACATTAATTTACTTTTTAAATATAATTAATTCCATAATTATTTCGGGAAATATACCTACTTCATGGAAGTCTCAGATTATTATACCATTTCTAAAGCCTCATAAACCACCTTCTGAACCATCTTCATACCGTCCTGTTGCACTTTCCTCTGTCTTACTAAAGCTAGCTGAACATTTAGTGAAGAACCGTCTAGAATGGTTTTTAGAAAGTAATAACTTACTATCCCCGAACCAGTTTGGTTTTAGGAAAGGTAAGAGCACCTTAGATAATGTGAGCATTCTTATTTCAGATATTCATATAGCTTTCTCACAAAATTTGTCAATCCTCTCAGCCTTTTTAGATATAAATTCTGCCTATGATAATGTAATAATTTCTATTTTAAAAACTAAATTACAAGCTTTAAATGTACCGGTAATGCTTTCTAATTTCATTATTAATATTTTATCAGAAAGAACAATACATATGGATCTAGATGAAGATACCAAATTATCTAGAACAGTATGGAAAGGCCTTCCACAAGGATCTGTTCTCAGTCCAATTTTATTCAATATATACACATACGATCTAGAATCATTCCTTGATAAATCCGTCAAAATTTTACAATATGCTGATGATCTCTTATTATATTTTATTGCGAAGTCCATAGAATCTGCTTCTGCCAAATTATCTGATTCATTAGATTTGTTAAAAACGTGGTTAGATGCAAATGGTCTTAATCTTTCTGTAACCAAGAGTAGTGTAGTTTTGTTTTCAAGAATGAGATCACCGCAACAAATTAAGGTGCTTTATGATAACTCATACATTCCTATAAAGACTGAAATTAAATTTTTAGGTATCGTGCTAGATAATAAATTAACAGGTCTGTCCCACTGTAATTATATTTCCACGAAATGTGAGCGTAACCTCAACATTCTTAGGTGCCTTGCTGGAGTTTGGTGGGGAGCACATCCCGTTTCACTAAAACTTGCTTATAATGGTCTTATAAGGAGTGTCATTGATTATGGAACTTTTTTGTTAGCTCCAGGAAGTTCATTTGCTTTTAAGAAATTGGATTTAATTCAATCAAAGGCCTTGAGGATTATCTCTGGAGCAATGAAATCAAGTCCAATCAATGCTTTACAGCTCGAAGTCGGTGATCCACCTTTGGTTTTAAGAAGGCAATATTTATCTGATCGCTTCTTTTTTCGTTGTTTACAATTATCTGATCATCCGCTTATTCAAAAGTTATCTCAACTATATATCTTTATTTCGTCTTCATCTTATTGGAAACATAAAAAACCTCCATGTTTAATACAAAGTTATGAAAAATATAAATCCATAGAATCTCCCACTTTTACATCGTCCTGTTTTCCCATTTATAAATGCTCATATCAATCTTTAGTTTTATCTCCTAATATTAAATATGATTTTGGGTTATCAAAAAATGATTCAGAATTGAATGCTAAATTTATGTTTATAACTGACATTGAATGGAATGAATGGCACTACATCTTTACTGATGCATCAAAACCAGACAATAGCGGTTGTGTAGGTGTGGGTGTGTTTCATTCACAATTTAATATCGTTCAAAAAATTAAACTTCCACCGGAATCTTCAGTTTTTACCGGGGAATGCTATGGTATTTTAAAAGCTGTAGAATATATACTTTTAATGAAATTACATAAGGCAATAGTTTTCACTGACTCTATGAGCTCTTTGCAAGCTCTAGCCAAATATCCGTTTAAATCAAAACCAGTTTATCCCATTATTTGTGACATAAGACAAAGTCTTTATCTTTGCATGTTGAGAGGGTATTCCGTTTCTTTTGCTTGGTTACCAGGACACAGTGGTATTAGCGGCAATGACAAAGCTGACCTTATTGCAAGAGAGGCTGTAACTTGTGGTGATATGTATCCGTATCATAATTACTGTAGTGACCTAGCTTGTCTCCCAAAAATATATTTAAGGTATGCCTGGAAGGAATATTGGGAAAAAACAAGTACAATAAAAGGAAGATTTTATCGCCTTATACAACCCGATATTCCTTTCAAACCATGGTTTTGTAAATTAAAGCTTGGAAAGACCGCAACAACTATTATAACTCGTATGCGTCTAGGTCACGTATGCACACCTTCTCATTTATACAAGCTTGGTATTGTACAAAGTTCGTCGTGTAATTGCGGTGCTGAAGTGGCGGACTTGAATCATATATTCTTCTCATGTTCTAAATTTGACCACACCTCCCTTTTTAATCATCTCCGATCCATCCGTGTTCCATTCCCAACTTCTATTCTTACTCTACTTTCTTCCAATGATCCTATTATCTATAAAATACTATCTTCATATATATATGATAACAATATTAAGATTTAGTTATATTACATGAATACATTTATAGTTGCATCAATTGCTTTTCCTATATATTTATAAGTATATTCTCATATGTACAAGTATATCCTTCATATCCTATAAATATCCTAGACCTAATCCTTATCCTTTCTAAATTCGTTTGTGTTAGGTATTTTTATTACTATTATCGTTTCCCCGTTTTGTTCTTGGCAAAATACCCTAATATCGGGGTGAACGCCACAAAAGAAGAAAAAAAAAAAAAAAAAAAAAAAAAAACATAGAATGACAGATGACAGAACAGTTTGAATTTTATTCTGAATTTGGAATTATTTATTTTGAAATTAGAATTTTGGTTTGTTTACAAAATTGCAAATTTTGATCTTTTCGTGATAATTCAATTAGAGAAATCTTTTAATAACAAAACCTTACAGTTTGTATGAAAGAAAGTACAAAAAAGTTTAATTTAAACCTAAAAATTTCTTCATTACTAAAAGTTTCATAAAACAAAATGATAACATTTCGTCGATTTTATCATGTTTCTACTACTTTGTATTCTTTTAAAAAACTAGGAATTAAATTGTCTAAAATGGTTAATCCCAAAAATAAGAAGTAAGTATTAGTATTATTGCAGTGTAATAATTTTTAGGTTACTTATGGGTTATTTAATTTTTCGAGTATTTTTTTCTTCTAGACAATATTATCCATTACTTCCAATGGAAAGTAGCATTATGCCAAGCATAAAAAGTTTAACAAAGACTCAAAGGGAACCTGGCAAACAAGGAGTACGCAGGGTGGCCATGCTAAACAAAATATTTATGAAACAAATTACTGACATTATGTCGACAGGCACAGTTTCAATGGATATTGTTGGACGTGGTATTGAAATATCTAAAGTAAGTATAGGAGTCAAAAAGTTAGTATTAGTCAATTAGTAAGACAATGTTTGACTAGTCTGGGATTTCTAAAGTAAAACTTGAGTCTAAAACTTTAAATTCTCAAACTCATGTTTGGATCATTAAAAAAATATATTGTCATTCATTTTATGGTTCAGGGGTGAGGCCACATGTGAAACCCTTGTCTAGAAAGTCACATCACAGGTTTTTGTATATAACATCTTGACATCACAGGTACACATTAGAATGATGTACCTACCTATGTTAATAATATATAATAATGGAGTATCATTGCAGGATCATGAGTATTAAATTAGGTCTATTGGCCCATTGAGGAAAATTCCCCAGAAAGGAACCACAAGGTGGGGACTGTGTGGAGATTGTCCTGATAGGGTATATTGCTGTTGATTGGAACATTAATATTAGTACTCATTATTAACAATGCCTATCTTCCTGACAACTCTGGGGTTTTTTAATGGATACTCTAGTGAGAGATGATAGGTGAGAATGAAAAGGTAGGTCAGGAGCCCATGGTGATGAATATATCTAAAATTTAGATGAATGGTTTCCAGGGACGATCATGTGGAGGTCGACCTGACAATTTATTACTAGCAATGGGACTGGTAGTCTGCATTATTAACAATCCCCCCTCTCAACCTGTTACCTCTGGAGTAGGCTACCTGACCTGCCATTAAAACATCTATGATCATGTGAAAACAGTATCTTCTGTTATCAAAAGTTTTTAAGGCATCTTATAGCATATTATTTGAGCATTTGTTTTAAACATCACTGTATTTAGTCTAAACTTAAAATACTTATAAACTTTAATAATAGTGTAATGGCATTAGAGTATATAAGCTATCAAATAGAAAACTTATAAGTACCTTACCTACTTGTTTATTTCAATGAAGTTTTTTTTTTATACAACTTAGAATGGTAAACAAGCTGACGACCCACCTGATGGAAAGTGGTAACCGTCGCCTATAGACATGAGCAGTGCCATGGACATAACAGAGTATACTGTTTCGCTCATGATACCCCCCATGTGTTGCCATTCCTGAGGACTCAGGTGTAATTCCTCTGTACCCAGTAAATTGACACCATATCCCACCCTTCAAACCGAAACACAGCTATACAAACATAACTGCTTCACGGTAGAAACACGAATGGGACAGAGGTACCCAAGCAATCGACTTTAGAGGTCTATAACAATAAATAATTATGTTTTTAGTTATGCAATACAAAATATAGGAATAATATGTTTTAGGTACAAATTACACCTGATTTGCAAACTGTTAATGTTTATTGGGTGTGCAAAGGCGATTCCACAGATGATGAGACAGAGTCCACATTAAAGAAAATTGCAGGTGTTTTGCGACATGAACTCTCTACCCTCAGAGTCATGGGGGAAGTGCCATATATAGTATTTGTTAAAGGTTAGATTATTGACATATATATTTTAATATAACATTATTTATTATCATATATTACATGCAAGAAATGTACATGTATAACACCCTTGGACGGGTGTGGTTTTATTAACAGTATTGGAACGCCCATTGTGTTGCATGGGTAACGGTAGCCGCTTCCCGTTAGGTGGACTGTCTGTTTCATTGACTCCCTAATAATAAAAAGAAAATTAGTATACTGCAGTGGACAAGTTTGATAGACCAATATTCACTTTTTTATTCAACCTCTATGCATTTGTTTACTAAAGTAATAATCTTTATACGTAAAGGTCCTTTTTAAAAGATACTTTTATTTGAAAACCATTTAGTTCTCCTTCGAATTGAAAACTGCCTATGCTATCTGTATAAAGAACTAGGATAGTATTATATATAAATAGATAGGGTAGGATAGGTAGTGAAGATAGATCAGTTATCCATCTGGAATTAATCAACGCAAATTAATCTGGAATTAATTACGATGGTTTCCAAGACGGACCGCATGGAAGACGACCTGATAAGCAATATTATCAGGTCGATATTGCTAGTAAATTGTTCGCTTATCCCCATTATTAATAATCCCTTTTCCTCTAAAAAATTCCGAAAACAAAACTACAGTATCCTCTGTATTGTAATTTTATATCATCAATTAATATTTCGATCATTAATCAAGATCAGTTATGATTTATTAGTTACAGTGTTGATAAATAGTATCACTGCCATTTCCTCCCTTCAAACCTGATCAGTAAAGCACTACTTTACTGGCAAAAATAAGGGGCTAAGAGAGATTGTTAGTAATTAGAATGTCAGTTCTTTTTATTAACATCTTGTTTTACATGATTGACCTCGATGCGGTCCACCATGGAAACCATCGTGTTTCATTCCTTTGCTATGGATCGCGATGGGCTAACGGACCTGACTAAATTCTCCCTTAGTGCCCAATGGTTGGGTACTAGGGGAGGGAAGGCCGTTAGTTAAATAGTTAGTTAGATATATACCGTTAGCTTAAGCAGGCGCAACATTCTTCATTTATTTATAAAGCAAAAGAGATAGAGTTCAGTCTTTATTAACTTTTGGATAATTTTTTTTGGTTTTTTATTGATAAGATTTTTGCATACTCGTTATTGATGCTGACGTAATAAATGGATGACCTCCTCACCTTATTTATTACTAATTCATATTCTATTTGCGATATTTTTAAAACTCTGCAAACGCGAGCTCCATTCGAACTTAGCTGGCTTTTTTCAACAGATAAACAGGAAGCGCTGATCACAGATCTAGATCGTCGATTAGCGATAGCTGACTACGGGGAGGACTATCAAACTACAGAACTAGGACATTTATTGAAAACAGAGTTCACGCTTGATACAAAATTATCTCCTGAAATGAAGGTACATATATTAATGAAAAAATATAAACTATAACTGTGACGGGTGCACGAGTCTAACTGACATATTACATTGTATGATTATATATAATAAAGTTAAAATTTGTTATGTATCGTTTGAAGTCCGCTACATATTTTCGAACATACAAGGTTTGGATGTAATAATGTCGTTATTTTTAGGGGTATCAGTAAAAACTAGGGCTCACATATACTTTGACACTACATAAAGTTTTTGCAGTAGTTCAAAAAAGAAATTCTATTTAAAATTTTTCAGAAAGCCATTATTTATCCTTTAATCTTTTTAGGCGAAAATAAAACAATTAGAAGACGAATCGCCATTATCACAGGAGCCTATACCGGAAATGACCCATAACGTTTATGGATTAGACCACGCGAAGATTATGAGTCGGTTGTTGGCAACGCGGAAGAGAAGTAAAGATGCTTGGAGCAATTTAGATTCTGATAATGCAATTATATCTTATAGAACGTCCGAATATAAACCATCTGAGCTGGACACAGATCAGCAGAGGCAACAGCTGGCTGATTTCTTACAAAAAAGAAAGGTATATTTTTATATTTTAATAAAAGAACATGATAAATTCCAACTTTATTTTAAGTGAAATTTCTAGTAGGGTTGTCATATTTATTTTATACTATCGTAGGCTCGCCACGTAGCTTATGATAGCACTTGTTTTTTTTTTTTATAATTGAGACGAATCTAAGGACAAAAAATTAAAAGCCGTTTTCATTATTCATTTAATTAAGCTGTATTGGTTATTTGTTACCTACGCACTTATATATAGACATGAAAAATATTACCCTCTTTACTGTTAGCAGTCAGATTGAATGGATTACAGAACAGATGAGAGTATTATATACTTAGTAGTGGCTCGATGACAACTGAACTTTAAAGCTTAGTGTTTATACATTTGAATTTGGACGAATTCTCAGTACTTTTTTGTATTTGTGCGAATTGAATTTTACAATCTTTAAAAGTCGACGGGTATTACATTACCTGTGACGGCGGTAAGCCTCCCGCCAGTCACGTTGAATTTCAATATGCTCGGCGAATTCCCAAATATGGGTAAGTCGAATATAAAGTATATTTGGTCACAACGCTCAACAACAGTCGATTTGTCTTACTGATCTATACTCTGTATGTGCAAAATTTTTAAATAAAGTTTTTTATTATTTTTTATAGTGTCGTATTTGAAATGGAGTAAGTCAGTAATGTCGTATGTCAAAGATTTACTTACAATTGTAGGATTTTAGGTATTCTTGAGCGGTATTTTTAAGTTTATTTAGGTATATTAAAATTGTTTTTATAGTATTAAAGTATCAGAATTTTATATAGTAATAGAATTGTAAAAAAATAATCGCGGTGAAGAGAACTTTAGAGACACTGGATCTGAAAATACTGTCATGGGTTCAGTGAAACTGGATGATCATGATATGACCTTATATATAATAATTTATGTCTTGATAGTGTAATGGATCCTTAAATATATGCAACCAATTCATGTGACTATTTGAAATATTTGTAGATTGAACAAAACAAGCTTCATAAACAGTTGCGTAAATCAGAGGCCTGGCAGCTCTCAGATGTACAAGGTGATGATGATGACGAGGACGCATACGAAGAGTTCGAAGACGAAGATGATTATTACAATGACGCCGAAGATATATATAACGACAGTAGTATCCCGCCAGAAAAGAACACTCACACTAGCGTATAATTGTTTATTAGTATATTAATAAATTCTATTTTCATGTTTAAATAACCGTTTTTATTTTTTCCATTTTATAAGGCTATATATTTTTTTGTCCCTTAAATTCATGTGACCTAATAACAAAAACGGCGACTGGTCTATCTAATTTGGTTGCTAAGAATTCTTGTTAAAAATAAATGGAAACTGATAGTTTAGTGGCTGTATAAATGTTTGTAGCTGAAATTGTTATACAATATCATACAATAATACATGCATAATCGCAAAAATGTTGCTTTTAAATGTTACTGACAAATTTTTACAGAATTTAATAGCGTGACTTTTATAATTTCGCGACATCCAATTGTTTTACAGCTTATATTTTTATATTTAAAAAAGTGGCCATTAGCGCTGCACACACGACGGAAGCTTAAAAATGGAGTAATTTCTCCTGTTTTCCCAACATTTCCCTTCACTGCTCTGCTCCTATTGTAGCGTAATGAAAAGTATACTATAACCTGCCCAGGAGTATGAAGAATAATTGTACCAAGTTTTAAAATTCGTCGAGTAGTTTTTGTTTCTATAACGAACATACAGATAGACAGACAGACAAAAATTTAACTGATTGCATTTTTGGCACCAGTAACGATCACTAATCACCCCCTGATAGTTATTTTGGAAATATATTTCATGTACAGAATTTACCTCTACAGATTTATTAAAAGTATAGATTTGTTTCTTTTTATCAATACAAAGTTTGTGATAGTAATAATCCACTCATAATATTTTTTATTGTCGTAAACTTAACCTTTATTTGAAAAAGCAACAGCTGTATTTCTTGCCCATTCTTCTCATACATCTAAATACCTACATTATAAAGTAAACAATATGTACTATGACGATTATAATAACACGTCTCCGACATATATATATATATATATATATATATATATATATATATATATATATATATACATACATACATATATATATACAAAAATAAAAAAAAAATTTTTTGGGGAGAGTCACCCTTATCATTGAAGGGTATAAAAAATAGATGTTGGCCGATTCTTAGACCTACCCTTACCTTACCTTAGTTTCGGAGGAGTTTGGTAACAAACACCGTGACACGAGAATTTTATTATTTTATTATTATATATGATTGATTATGCAGGCGAAGCTACGGAATACTGTTTAGTTAAAGTAAGTAATAATAATTAATAGTGTTGTAATTATAATAATGGAGTAATAATTTATGATAGGCAACAATGACATAAGACTACCAAGAACAATTCTCGGGCAAGTCCCTTTGTTTCTAAACGTCCTGTCTTGTCCTGCCATAGGTATAGAGTTATTTTTAAAGGGGAAAATGACTGTAACAGAGACATGAAAAACCCATTAATTGGCATAGGATATGTAAGACTGATTGTTTTAGGTCAATTGATACTGTGAATTTGAATTTACATAGCTACTATATGACATCTAATATAAGGAAATTTTGGTCCTTTGGTCATCAATGAGTATATATAGAGACCTCGAACGTGGAAAAATTAATATTTGGATTTTTATCATAATCGGTTTAGTAGTTTAATAATTATATTAATAATTTTTATTAAATTAAGACAATATTTTTTAAAATAATTCAAATTGTGTTCCACAAAAAAGAAGTCTGTTTAAAAACATCGACTTCAATTTTGGCCAAACCAGTTTTTTTGAATGGGGTGATGATGGAATGGTAACCCCGCTTGCGCTGCCGGTATACGCTGGCGGGGCACCAGTGATAGGTGAGGATGAAAAGATAGGTCAGTTAGCTTATTGTGATGAATACACTTGGAATTCAGCACGATAGTTTCCAGGGGGGAGACCACGTGGAGGTCGACCTGGTTGGCTGTATTGCTAGCAATAGGGTCCTTAGTCTCTATTATTAAGAATAAAGTCTTAAATTATGTTCCACAGAAATCCTCTAGTCTTGACGAAATTAGTACATCACCAACATGATAATATTTCGATTAAAAAGAGCATCGTGTTCAGTTCAGATTTAGATTTAGTGAAAATATCACGTGTCATACGCTAAACATATACAATTGGTAATCTCTGTGGTAGCTGAAAGGTCCCTATTTAATAAAACTTAAAATACTTCTTGAAGTATGTTTAGGAAAACTGCACAGAAAACAGTGTCAAGAAACATACGAGTATATGGAACAGAATAATATAAAAAAGACATAAAAATGTAAAACAATAATAACAACAGCATTTTAAAGTTAGTAGAAAAGTACGATAAATTACAGAGAGGTAAGATGACCAATATTTCACGAAACTAAAGAGAAACTTATATTTTTTCTACAATTATTTAGTTATATTTTCATTATGCAGGACAATATTTCCATATTTATTCATAGAGCATAAGTAAAGATTAATAGAGAAAAGGAAAGAGCAATAAAGTTGATAAATAAAAATGTCTAAAGTAAAATCTGCAGAGAAAAAAGCTGCCCCCCTTGACAAGTAGTACGAATCTATTGATATGTTTGCATTACCTTACATATCATGTAAGAAAAACACGCTAGAAAACGATTCTTTAGGTAGATTCGTTGCCACTAGTGTAAAGGGGCTAGATTGCCTTCCGTTTAAAGTAGACATAATACTTTTACTTTCTGATTTATCGATCGATAATAATAATATAAAAAGATCAATGACTTCAGTAATAAGTATTATTGTACCGATAAATATATGAGTAAGTAGGATGGTAGGTAGAATCATAAGTAAAATCTATAAATATTTGTAATGAGTCAATTCATTGACTACGTAGACAAGTACTTTCACTCATAGTAGAAGTATTTGTTAAGAGGCCTTCCCTATCAATAATGATTTAACTTCGCATTTTTTCAAGTTCCAATTTACATATATTCATAATATTATTACATGAAATCCCAATTAGTAAATTGCAAAGTCTAATCATAAATAAAAAAAAAAATCAAATTTACGATTTTTTAAAAGTTAGCTACATTTGTACTCACCTTGAAGATTTCGAATGAAGTTGAAATAAATGTCGAAATCGGCAAATATAGTAAGTTTATTTCCCGTTGCCTAGTGACATAAATGAATTTAAGTAATCCAATATTAATAAATTTCTGTATTATAACTAAAAATATATAAGTACTTAATTATTCATCACTCCATGTGTTATTGCTACTTGTTGATACTATACAGTATACATATTGAAAAATCTACGAGAAAAATTGAACTTTTTTCCTAAGAAACACGAATAGAATAGAAAGTCAACAAAAAATCTCTAACTTCACGTAGTAACATGACATCTGGACACAATTTTGTCTAAAATGTTTTATTACAGATAGTATATGCTTTTAAAAGTATGCCAATAGATTTTTAAGCACTATTATCTATTTCTAAAATTAAAATTTCAATTATAACGAAATGATAATTCTTAAAAAATAGCATCAATAACATTTAGTATTTCCAAAAATTGTAACTGTTTGCGTCAGAACTGCTTTACAATTAATTCTCGATTTCACTCAATACTAACTGTTGTGGAAAGAAAATTACAATAAAATACGCGGCAGCTTTATTTTTAAAATAAAGGTCATATTGATTGATAATAACGCCATTTACATCATACATACAATGTTATCAATAAACTAAAAGCGTGCGCCGGTGCACAGTAAAATAAACATGGTCGAATAAAAATAAAATTTGGTAAAGTGCGAGTGATTCTCGCGCCTCGAGCATCATATCGTAGCAATTTCAATAAAATAGAATAAAATTAAACATTTACCCCCTTATTCCTCTTTACTTTGTTTCAAATTGAGAGAAATTTATGAGAGGTTTTACGATTGTTTTTGTAAATAAGAGGGTAATATTTGTAATATTTAATAATATTTATTTGTATTTGTAATAATTATTTTTATATTTATTGTCGGAAATGACAAACACTCATAAAGATTCCGTTGTGCATGTATATAGACAATATTTAATTATGAATAAAATGTAATTAAATAGTAAAAAATCTTTAAAATTAATAAATATTTTGTATAAAACAGGTTCAACAGAAATATTGGATTGAATAACTTTTTCTATTCTCAATTTATTTTGTAGCACTTATTTAATTGAATTACATTTAATATTTAAACAAATATTTCCCATTTGATTATATAAATAATGACTTTATTATTTTGGAGCATCTATTTTTATAGCAGATCTTTATCTTACTTCGTACCTATATAGATATGTCAATATGTCTACACTGTATATTGTGTATAAAATATGAAATTTAAGTGAAATGTACAGAATAAAATTCGTGACATCCTTTTAAATGTGTATTATACACTAATGTGTATTAAAATACACATATTCAAGGTATTCAGTGAAATTGAATACTTATCACAAAAAGCATGGGTCGAGAAATGAAAAAAAAATTGAGAGCTTCCTATACTTATTATAACTTGACTGCTAGGGAACTGAAATTTTACTTTTTTGTAAATAGTTCAAATCTTTTAAAACATTCATCGTCTACTTAAAAGGATTACGTATCGTGTTAGGTATCTTAATTTTTTTGAATAGATGCTCATCAGGGATAGACAAACAGACGGACATTTAATCAATAGTTTAATCAATAGTTAGACAATAATAGGGTTCTATCGAACCATGTCAAATTATTAAATTTCTTCAATATGTTTTAATTTTAATTAAAAGCATTATAAGTAATAGAAAAAGTCTCGAAGGTTAAGAAGGTAAGTAGTTTTTTTTTTAATATTTTATTTATAAAGTTGTACTTGAAAAATTTCTAGTAAAAGCATGTGAACACAGAACTTTGGCATTTATATATTTCCCATATATTTATTTATAAAAAATATGTGTACATGTTTGTGATATTATATGATTCAGTCTGGAGTTTTATATATATCGATCTAGTTGCCAAGTCACGTCTAGAGAAAATTGGGGACTCCGTATCGGATAAGAGTATAGAACGTGCTAGCTATGGTTTGATTTATACTAATATTGCTTTTTATATCGGCATGTGAGTAATAAAGTTAATCCAGGTCCCATGTAGTCGCTTCGCATGTGATGTAGTGTAATATCGGGCGGGGTGAGCGGCGTGAGGGAAGGAAACCGGCCGGCGCGGTGGCCACCTGTTCGCCGCGCGGTGGCGCGCGTGTGCCCCCTCTCCTTCCCTCGCCCTTTCGCTGATGCATCACCCCCTCGGTCGTCTTGTCGCCCCGCGCGCGCCTCGCGCCCGGCACCCTTGTCGACTCGCTGCGCGCGCTTCTCCCTTCCCTCCACTCATTCGTTCCGCGACGCGTCGTCTAGCCGGTCGGCTTCCGTTATATTCACCCAAGCTCATTCTCACCGTGTCCGTTAGCCGCACCGCTCCGATTACACCCTAACCGATCTAGACATGACGGAAAGCACGGACACCCCCGCGGCTGCCGCGCCTGAGAAAACTCCCACCGAGAATGGCACTACTGAGACACCCCCAGAAGAGACTCCAGATAAGGCAACCGAGGAAAAAGAAAAGGAGGCAGAGCCGCCCAAGGAAATGCGCGCAGTCGTACTCACAGGCTATGTCGGTTTGAAAACTGTCAAAATCCAAAAGAAACCCGTGCCCACCGTTGGAGAAGGCGAAGTTCTCATACGAGTCAAAGCCTGGTAAGTCCTTTTTAATTTATTTTACACTACCCTCATTTTTAAATATCCTTTTCGAGGATTCATAAGTCACAAACTAACTGGAAAGTGTCCAGATAAGTTTCGATGAAGACTAGTATTTAATCATAACATCAGTAATATCGATGTGCTATTTACATAAAATAATATACTTTTTAATTATTATTTTTTTTGTTAGGTATGGGCAATATTTTATAATACTGATTTTTACTAGTATGCATTTCTAAAAGTCTGAATCGTAATCGCCCTATTGAAATACAAGATGGGCATAATATAAATCTTAATGTAACAAGTGGATATTAAATTTGTTTGATTTAGTCTGATACGGTCAGAGCCTTGCCTATCCAAAACAACATCGGACGAGTGCAGAAGAATTTATTGAAATTTATCTGCTTCATTTCAATGTGTTAATGCAAAGACCGGGTTGAAAATTCTGCACGCACACTCACTTCCATTGCCGGTCGTGCGACACGCCCTGAGCGGATTTACACTCCAGCAATTACCACCGTAGCCACCCACCCACCAGTGTCGTAGCTATTTATCGTTTTAAAACTCTGTTAATATTTATACGTTGTCGTGTCGAATCATTCGATTTCGCCAGATCATTATTTATTCATTAGAATATGGAATATTGTTTTCGATAAAGTTGCGTTCACGCATGTATGCGTGCACCGAAGCGCGGAGTTGCGCTGCTGCTGCATGGACGGCTACAACAAATTGATGTTATTTTGTCATATGAAACCGGAGTGAGCTCGGTTCGTGCGAAAGGGAGTTAAGCGCCGACTGACATTGTTCTTTGTTCGTTTTTATCGCTCCAGTGCTTCAGATAATACAGACGAGCGGACGAGTCGCATCAACACGCTACTTGCGACGACACATGAGTTATCTGCCACTTTTCTCGTTAAAGTTAACTGCTCTCTGTTGCAGGCATAACAAAACTGTCACTTAACTGTGAAAGATTTGTTTCTTTGCCTTATTATGGCTTTAAATAAATGAGAGTTATAAATCGTCACCGTTAGGTCATTCTTCACTTTCTCTATTAGGTACTTATGGGTTAAAAAATTGCCGTTGAAATTATTTTTCATTAAATTATATTAATCAGTGTTGTAATAGGCATTATTTTTGTATCATATACCTTTTAGATGAGAATCACGAATTTTTCGTCGACGTCTTATATGCTATAGTCTGTTTTTGAGCGTCAAATTGTGGCTCTTGATAATAGATTTTTCGGTATTTTTTATTGTAATCAGTTTAGTAATATACAAGTTATACTATCAAATAGACTCTCGGAGAGACAGACAGTCGGCTCTTGTAATTGTAATATTAGCAAGGATATTTAAATGCTTTAATAATTAATCTTTCAAAACGCTTTTAAATATGAGTATGATAGTTGATCACTTTCATGACTCGTATTATAGCTGGTTTTAAGATACTCTTTAAGAATTTTGTACTTGTGAATTCATTCATAGCAGAAAAAGTGTAATAAGTCAAAATCAGAAAAAGAGAAAGTATTTATAAAACTGTATAATATTCTCCAAATAAGTGAATGAGTAATAAATTTTCAAATATTTTTCCAAATACCGATATTGATTTAATATCACATCTATAGGATTCCAAACGGTCACGATAAACGAGCCGGGGTGCGTGTAACCTGTGGGTGCAACGAGAGGTGTGCAGGGCGCATCCCCGGTCGTGCTAAATATAGTGTGCTTATCTCCGACTTACTATGTAAATGACCGCGACATACTGGATGCCAGCTGCCGCGAAATATAAACTGACTGGTTGCGTCTCGACCGGTACAAGATACAAGTTCCCTCTGCTAGTCTGGCAATGCAAAAACGTGTGAGTTCCGCCCACACTCGCTCTAGCTACGATCGGATTGACTCACAGATATGGATTTTAATAGACGCCGCAACTACTTGCACAGTGCGTATAATACTTGGTCTTAGATTTGAAATAGTTTAAAGATCAGTATTATACATGGTATTTTCGGAGGGGTTTAGGTAGGAGGGGTGCGTTATTATGAAATAGCTTTTGTAATATGACGGCAAGTTTTATAGTGACGCGCGTAGTTTTGATATAAATTGAGGTAGGTACCTGTATCGTCTATTGCGTCGTTTATAACTAGAGATTTGTGAATTGACTCTACAATCGCGGTAGATAACTCCCTCACATCACAGGCATGTGTATATGAATAACATCTGTTCGTGACTTTCAATAGATCTCGAGTGTTACATATTTTTTTACGTCGTTCATTGCTCCCGTGTGTATTGTCTAATATGTATACTATAATAAATTTGTAATTTATATCTGTTCGTTCATTGTTTTTTTTCATTACGAATAAATATAAAAATAGAATTATGTCAGTTTGTTACTTTAACACGAGAAAATGGCTGTTCCGAGTCAAACTAAACTATATGTTTGAATATGTTTGGTTCAACTTAAAAACTTAATAGGTATATTTTATTTGAATCAGTCAAGCATATCATGAGCTACCTACAGCTTGATCCTCTCCATTGTATAAAGTTGTTTTGTACTTTATATTTAAAGTACGTTGACAGTAAAATTTTCTAAGGTTATAATGGGTGAAGACGACTAAGAACGAATTATTCGAAAGTTCTACGGAAAGAAATTAATTTTGAGCAGATAATAATAAAAAAATGTGTATCCGGTGAATGTCACGGGCAACGACTAGTATATATTTCATAAGAATAATTTGCTAATGTTTAAATTAGCATGCGAGATAAACTGTCCTTGGTTAGTATTCAAAACTAGTAGCTATGCTTGTAGTAACCTAGTTGTAGCGCATCGTAGCGTGATGATATTAAATTTGGAAATAAAAGACTTTAACGGGGTTCATACGTCTAATTTAGTTAAAAAAAATATATATATTATATAACCACTTTAAATTATTATTTACCGTATCTTTAACTGAATAGGTGATTTTTCACGTTTCGTCCAATACAGCAGATAAAGAAAAAATATCAATAAATATAAGTAGTATATCTAGTTTAATAAGAAGAGGTTTTTGTAATTTAAGTTTTTACTATTGGTTTTTGTTTTATTTTTAGTACTATTGGTATATAAATACTGTTTATATGCTGAAGCAAGTACTCTTTATTAGTGAAAACTCATTAGAAAATGGTTAAATTATTTTGCATGATGTGTGAGCATACCGTTGTTATGAATATGTAATATCGAATATACATCATTGGTTGGGGGCGTGAATAGGGTTGTCAAACATACTCTTATTTCATATCATTATCTGTATAAATATTTAGGAATTAAGTACATAAAATATACTTAATTTCATATCAACTTTCTTATGCATTCTGTTCCCGCAGTGTCCACTGTATATTTTTAAACTATTTTTTATGTATTACAAAATAGTGAGAATATAGAAACAGAACATCTTCAAATTTATTAAAGACGAGTCGTTTGTTTAAGTTTAAGCTAAAATTGCATTATTAAAAACAATTCTTTCTATATAAAAAAAAAGTTGACAACCCTATGTGAAAATGTGGCGAATAAATTCACTTTCTTCTTACTTAGACGCTCAGTTTTCATGTCATTAATAATATATAAAGTAGGTATTCATAAGAAATATTTTAATTTTCTTGACTAATAAAATATGGCACGACTGATGATTGAACCTGTGGGATCTCATATGCATAAAGCGACACACCTACCACTGCCCTAGAGGTGCTACGAGATCGTCTTTATCTAATAATAGATCTAATGTTACAAATATAATACTCGTATTATGTTCATCACGCACTATTCAAACTTGAACTTAACAGACTAGATATCTTTAGAGTGTGTTGACCTACAATTAAATGGTCATTATGTAAGGCCGCCGAATGTTTGAAATAATACCTGTCTAGCGTGGCGTGGCAGTCACGCAGTGAGGCTAGGATCACCATGACTTCGAATGACGTCGGAATTTCTTTTGGTATTAAAATATAGGTAACTTTGATATATGAAGTTTTAATCAATTTGATATTATAAAATAACATCGTAATTGGGTACAATATATTATAAAAATTCAGTCAAATTACAAACCTTTTTCGTTTTAAAGTCGATTAATACGCGTACAAAGAAAGTTAACATTATTCCGCGAATCAATTTATTATAATTGTATATCTTTCTCTCTTCTTTAGATATTATGATAGAGAAGGTCTTTTTACTTAACAATGCTATATTATGTATAATTTTTTACGTCCAAAAATGTTGCGTGTAACAGTGGAATGGTTAACGTTGTTGAAAGTCTTCACCAGGGATTGGATGAATGTATAAAGCACCATTATTATCAATTAGGTCAAAGTCAGTGTCGGCAACAGACATCTTCCGAGAACAATCGAAGTACTCACGCCTCTTATAAGTGGCTTTCTTTTTTATACCAAGAGTACTTAATTATATGTAAAGATGAGCGGAAGATGAGAAATATAATGGGCGGTCTATTTTTTTGTGGGCCCCATACCCAAGTACAATATTTTCGAGTGGTGTCCAAGAGAAGAGTGATTGATAAAGATTATCATTAGTAGTATCACACATAACGAAACTTGTTTTGTTAATATTGTGTTTCTAGTATTTTTATAATTATATATGACACTAGATGTTGCCCGCGGCAGTGTTGTTTCCCCTTTAAATGGAAATTTTCGAAAATTCTTTTGTAGCAGAGGCTTACGTTATAAAATAAACCTATTTACTAAATTTTAGTTTTCTAGACTTAGTTGTTTGTGTGTTGATAGATAATCAGAATAAACGATTTTATAAGTAATATAATAATTTACTCCTAATTTTAATATTATAGGTTCATCTTTTGTCAATGTCTTCCATTGATGAGGTGCCGGCTATGAAGCATGTGTGGTGGGCAGTAGACACTGGTTCGGTTTAATTCAGTTTCGATTACTGGTTCTGGGTATAGTGATGACAGATGTTCGATGTTTTAGTTCTGGTAGCACGCCAGAATTTAAGCTCATGCA